TGGTATAAAGCTGAGTAGTTTACCAGTTCCCACATGGGCTACACAAAGGTGCATATACAGTCTATGCCTAATTTATATTGTCTGCCGCATTCACTTTCGGTGGGGAGAGTGTCATGAGTAAGAGTAATTTAGTATACAAATGTGTGTATGACGAGGTGGCTGGATGTATGATGGTGATTATCTCTGAGCCGTTAACTGTTTTGTTTCTTTTTAATTCTCGATATAGTGAAATTTGATGGTTGGATTACTGCTATCATTTATTACCAAAATTGTGTGGAAAATATATATATATTTTTTTAAATAAAGGTTTTTCCTCTCACTGCCTGTTTAAGATGCCTTGAAAACAGGTTTTGTACTTAATGATACCACATAGATAATACTTTAAATGCGGTTTCCTGGGTTTTACTAGCTAAGTCACAATGCCTTACTAGATCACATATCTTCCCCCACTGCTGTGGTGTAAAACTCTTCCCGATTGCCATTTCCCATTTTCTCATGTATGATTGGGCTGGGAGATTTAAGTTTTGTTGTAGTAATGAGTATAGGAGGGAGATCGTATGTGGTTGCGGGTCTGGGTCGAAACACATGCGCTCAAATGCGGTTAAAGCTCTAAATAGATTTGGTTGTTGGGGTATCTGGCGTATAAACTGTCTCAGTTGTTCATATTTTAGCCTCTGTAGGAACATGTCTGGTGTTCCGTTTAAGAGGTCAGGTAGGCGTCTAAGTGTGTCTTCCTCCGTCATGTGCCTAATTTGAACCTGCTTGAAAGCAAAAAAACATGTGAATGCCTTGCCTTGCCTTGCCTTGCCCTCCAATGTACATGTTCGGTCCCACTCCAATGGCCTGCAAGGTCTGCAGGAGAAAACCCTTGTCCACTCTGTCAAAGGCATCCGTAGAAAGTAGCAGAAGACCCTCTTCGCCTCTCTGGGCCTGGTGGATCAAAGCAAGTGCCCACGTAATGTTATCTCTGGCTTCTCGGAAGGGAACAAAGCCCATATGGTCCTCCTGCACCAGATCAGGTATGTAGGGTTTCATTCTGGTTGCCAAGACCTTGCAAACAGCTTGAGGTCTGTGTTTAGGAGTGATATGGGTATGTAATTGGCACACTGCTCCAAGTCCTTGCCCTCTTTGGGGATCAGGGTGATGTTGGCTACCGCAGTTTGGGTGGGCAATCTCTATCCCTGCGTGAGTGAGTAATAGGCCCTCATAAATTGCAGATACAGGTCGCCTGCAAATTGCTTGTAATAGCGCAATGTGAGTCCGTCGGGGCCCGGGCTTTTGCCCGTGTTGGTGGACTTGACGGCCTCCGCTAGTTCCTCTATTGTCAGAGGCACTTTTAAGGCTTCTATTGCCTCTTCTGTCAATATGGAATGGATGTTGGCTTCCAAGTAATCTCGTATGGACTCTCATCGGAGTAGTTGTGGGCTGCACCCAGACAATAATTTGGAAGTATAAACTCTCATAGTTAGAGTGCGCTATCTTAGCGATATTGTCCAGCAATCATTGAACCAAGCCCTGGCGGTCACGTAGGTGAACTATGTAGGATTTGTTTTTTCTTCTTGTTGATAAGTCGAGCCAACAACATGCTGCAGTTATCGTTGTTAACATAGAAGTATTTTTTAGAGTGTTGGAGGAGTCGTCGGTGGCCACAATGCAGAAGGGTAGATAACCTGCTCCGCAATGCAGTCAGTTCCTGGAATATGGTCAACGTTTGTTCGAATTTATGAGCCATCTCCAATACATGAATATCATTGACAAGTTAGCGAATTTACGTTTCCCTGTTCCTTTTCATAGTGGCCCCTTTGGCAATAAAAAAAACCCCTTATTGTGCACTTATGTGCCTCCTAGATTACTGGGACTGACACGTCAGAGGTCTCATTGTCAACGAAGTTATGAGTAAGTGTCGCTCTTGCGTCCTATAGGACAAGTGGGTCAGATAAGAGTTTTATGAAGTCGCCAATTAACAGTACGAGGTCGGCAAAGGGGTGACTTTAAGGTCATTGTCAGTGGGGCATGGTCTGTCCAAGTTATTACGCCCAGATCTACTTGCTGTACTAAGTGGAGGTAGTAGTAGGGAACAAAAAAAATAGTCCAGTCTGGAGTATCTGTCATGAGGAATGGAATAATGGGATTAATCCCTGCCATCAGGGTGTAAGGCCCTCAAGCAGTCAGTCAGCTGGTGAGTGTGGAGCAGGTTCTTAAACAACTGTAGGACATGATCGGGAACTACCGAGGTATGGATTATTATTTAGTGCTTATGCGGTGGGTAGTGGTTAGTGTTAGTGTATCTAACACCTGGATGGTAAGATGAGGTTACACACCAAAAGTAGGCCCACATCTTCTTTTCAATCACGTGTAGCTCTGGGCACTCACCAGCAGTTTGTTTGTATTTTTGCTCTGCATTTCTGCACTGTGATTCTTAGGTTGGTACAGACCCAGACTGTGTAGGTGTTTCTGCCAGGTGAATCATAAACATTTGCAGATATCTTGGAGGTGGCCATGGAGCTGCCCTGACAGGCTTATACTGGCCCCGGACCAATACAGCTTTATTTGTAAGCTGCAGGTCCAGGCAACTGGCAGGGAGAATGAGGAACCAAGGATAAAATATAGGACAAGAGTCATAGCTTGTGGAACATAGCTAATGAGGAAAGACTCAGGCAAGTTAACCTCTGCTTGTCTGATACAGCTCACTGAACACAGTCACAAGATGGCTGCCATCCATTATATTGGCATCTTGCCAATTCCATGGTAACAAAAACATTGGGTCACACTAACTCCACAGCTCAGATGACAGTTATTGTTGCAAGTGAAGTGTGACAAACCACCGTATAGTACTGTATAGTAAACATTGGCTTTTCTACAGTGCTTTACAATTATACGGTGGGGTTATTTCACAACAAGTAACTGATAGACAAAAAAAATGTTGACGGCGGTCATGCCCAAACAAGCTTACATGTGTAAGATTTATGAACAACTTGATAATTGAATAATAGCTACAGCATGAACAATTTCGATAGGTCTATTTAGACATTTCTCAGTAGATGCCCAAAGCATTATGGGACGGTGAAGTTGCTCTGAACACAGAACTGCAGAAACCATAAACAGATTTTTTATATCACTCTGCTGCACTATTTTCACCAGTAAATAATTCACTTAACATTTACTGGGTCGTGAAAAAAATAGGAAAAAGCTGCCTAACTAAAAATACCCTCCATAACACCGCAAACACCGTGAAACTTAATGGTCGCCCTACAAAGCTATGAGCTAGATACAAATCCATGTCACATCAAAACTATCAATCTAAGTTCCCTTCCTGAGTCTGCATCACCTCGTTATTTAACCCAATCAGGCAAGAAAATTAGAAGAGGAAAGTACGACTCAAACCCGTGGGAAAGGGTTAATGATGGGTGACAATATGCATCCGACTTCTGGAGAGCTGCAGAAACCAGATTGCAATCTGCCAATCATTCATTCATTGGCAGACGATCACTCTCAGCCAATGAATTACCCACTGTGCAAAAAATATGCACAGAATTGACATTAGTTAGCGCAATACTCTCATTCCACCCTGGCTGATGATATTGATGACATACAGTGTTTTGAAGTGGTTATGGTGTTTGCAGTAACCCTTCAAGATACATAAGTAAGGACTGTAATTATTTCAAAAAGGGAGGGTGTGAAAGTGGAAATGTTTTGAGTTTTCCATAAAGAATTTCTATTGAAAAAAAACTTGCAAATACTGTGTTGGAATATTACTGAAAATTCAGAGCAGTCAGAAGATGTACATGAGACAAAGTAGGAATGTGAACTATAAAATTAATGATTTCTTATTTTCACAGCATCAGATCCCTAAACAGGCATCAAATGGCTCATCCCAAGGTAGATCATACTGTGAATTGGGAAACACAAAGCTTTTGAGACATGTAAATGTCATATAACAGTGATCTATATTTGTATTACAGAAAGGTTTATTTAATGGGTGTCAGTTTACTTTTGAAATAAGGAAATCACAAAAAAAGAAAAATATGATATATTTAATGGTTAACAGTGACAATGAAGTTTCAGGGCTCCACCAGCTCCGTCAGGTATAATTTTATATAGATCTGAACCATTATATAAATATAACCAATATAAAATAAAATAATTTGGTATAAAATATATGCGAATATTAATACAATAAATTTGAAAGAGGAAATAAAAAGGGCAAAGTTGATTTATAGATTCACAGTCACCCATAATTATTTTATTTTAAACCGCTTTACAGATACATTTGGGGAAGTTTATCGAGGTGTTCTAAACCAGTTTATTATTTGGTTCAAATGAAAAAAAAAGTAGTCTGGAAAGTGTTTGTTTGTTCACAATTGAGGAGACTGTGCAAAGAGTCTACGCATATTCTACCAGACAGGTGCAGTAATAGAACATTGAGAAATAAAATGCTTTTCTGGTTAAAAAATAAAGTGAAAATATGAATTAATAGAAATAGCTACTCATAAAGAAAACAAAAAAAAAGAGTCTCAAATGGAACAACCATTAGAATTTATCATTCACACAAAGAGATTACAGGCAGTTAGAAAAAAATGTAGTTTTTTGTTTACTTTATTAATATAAAATATTTTATAGATTATCTGAGGTAGAGCACATTTTAAACAAAGAAATGAAAATGTTATCCCCTTCAACTACCAAGTTTGTTTAATTAAAACAAGTAACATATTTATTTAAAACATAGGATACCTCAGTAATGCATGTAGAATAGAACAGAACGTTACTGATTATTGTTCAGGGATAAAAGTTATGAAAATACACGCAATCTTACATTTTCATTTATATATTCAGCATTTGCAGATAAATTCAGGGGGAGGTAAAGTTTTATTTACAGATTCTATAGAATTCCTTCTCCTGCATTATTTCAGAATTTTCAGCAATGACATTCAGAGTCTCCACCCTCTGCATGGAGACACTGAACATTCCTCATAGAGATACACTGATTCAATGTATTTCCATGGAGAGATGCTGATTGGCCAGGACTGTGGTTGGCTTGTGTTGGCTTTTCTCCTGATCTGCATCCTTGACAGTCTCAGCCAATCCAATGCTTTTCTTTTGAGAAAGCATTGTGATTGGCTCATATCATCACTTCAGATCAGGGACAGAGCCAGCATAAGCAGACAGGAATAAAGGTAAGATTTTACAATATTTAGGGGGCAGGGTAGCTAGATGTGCTGTTTTTAACAATCTAGAGTCAGGAAAATATGTTTGTATGCCTGACCTTATACGAGGTATCAGAATGTTTGTAAACATTTCTGCCAAGATGCTTCCAGGTGGCAGAACGCGAGCGGCTTCCACTGACCTGAAACTCCAGCCACGCACACCTACAGCAAGGCATGCACACCGACAGCACAGTGCTGTGCAAACCAATGCTAGACCCAGCCTGCATGCATAATGCACTACGATTTATAGTTTATTTCCCCCTCCCTGCTTCTTACCTTGCCAGGGAGGGGGGAGATTGCATGGTGGAGGGAGCAAGCCGCAGTACATTGCATCAGAGAACTCTTCGGGTATTGCCACCCGGAAGAACTTCTATTATTGTTGTGACGTCATGGTGAAAGCTCGTATAGTGTTCCTTTAATATTTTTGGATAAGCTTCAATCTGTTACAGAAACCTTTCACATATTTTCTTTATAAGTCATGATTGAAGTCTATTGAAATCCTTGTAAACAGATCATTTGAAAAAGCTTATTCAAAAAAACATTAAATGGAGGCCATAGTACAAAATATTAGAAAATGAGCAGAAATATTATTTTTGTAACATACAATAGAAGCAATGAAAACAGAGAAATGAAAATCATGAAATAGCCGGATTATCTTTTGGCATTTATGGAAATGTAGCTTCCTAAAATTGCCAACAGAATGTACTCATGGTAACCTACAGAACCATGACTTCTAGAATGCTGGAGGAGCAGGATAGAGGTAGGTAGCCATTTACAGTCCCTCTGCAAAAAGGCAGAGGAAAAGAATGGTGATGATTTTTTTTTCTTGCTGGACAATGAAAACCAGTTTTGGAGTACAGACGAAGGAAAGTGGGGGTTTTGTGCCTAATTTTGTGTTGCACGATAAAAGTTAGCTCCGGATATATATTTTGGGAAGGAAGGGATTCATTGTTAAATAAGAGTGTAATGATATATGCACGTTTCAAGGTTTTGTTACTCTTAGTCCTACCTCGCAAACCTGGAACAACATAGCATACACACAATGAGCATTTGATATAAATATATACAGCAACACATTGTACAAGCGATGCAATATGGGGGTAATAACAGAGGAACATATTCTGTACAGATGTGCTATGAATCACTAGATCAAGGCACTTGTTTAAGCACAGATACCCTGAATAGGAACCTAGACTTTTTACAAGAGTAATGTAAGAATTGTTTTTTCATCTCATTACTCTTTTTAAGTGCTCGTTGACATGCAACTGTAATAGCTACCTTGTTTTTTACTATAAACTAATCTAACACTGGAATATATTGTGATTTCTCTTCATTTATTCCGTCCTGCTCTTACTCAGCCTACTGGAAAAAAAATATAAAACAAAAAAAGAACACATCGAGGTATTATAGACAATGTCGGCTGAAAAAGAAAAAGAAAAACTATACTAACTGATCAGAGAAACAAAAACCAGGGAAGGGCTTTAAAGAGGACAGTGGGCTATTGTCCATCTGGCTACTAGCATGCAGGGGCTGTGGTCTGGAGTCTCACTGCACCATTCTTCTGCTGATTAAAAACATCTGGAGGTATGTTGGGATGCCTGTTGTCAGTCAACAGGTAGGAATTGTTCAGAGCTTTGCTAGTCCAACACTGAATGGGTTTGTTCCTAGGCCGGTTGCCTTTCGATCACAATGCTTTCCTGGGGGACGGGGGCTTGTGATTGTTCAGACATCTTACTGGTCTCTCATACAGTTGACACCCAGGCCTGTAGCATGGTTCCAAATCAATATCTGATGTAGGGTTCTCTTTCATGAGAAGTTACCCAGAGGCAGCCAAAAGGTAGAACCGAAGATGCCAACAAATTACAGTTTTTCATGATGCTTTGTCCTTCTAAGGGGAGGCAAAGCATCATGAGTAGTTCTACAACATCTGAGACTCTACCTTGAGATCATACCGAGTTGCATCATTAAAATTACACTCAAGGCCAGAGCCGAGACACATTGTAATGCATTATACTGATAATACATTTAAATTTTTTTAGAACATTTAAAAAGTAAATAAATAAATAATTTTAAATGTACTGCTTTTGCTCCAGATTCCCATAGTTTGTAAAAATCTATAAAGCGGTGCAAGTACAAAACCTACACCTATAAGTGGAGCGCTGAATAGCGGGGTACACTTACCCCATATAACTTGATGGCAAGTTAATGTGCAGTACATGTGAAAAAAACAGACAAAGCAATATAGTGCAGGTGGTGCATATAAATAAAATCAGATAAAATGGTCGTGAAGTGGAACACTCACATTTAAAAGAGTATGCTTTTAAGGCAGCATCACACCTGCAATCCACGATATTATGTATCTCAAAGATAAAACATAGAGATAAGGGAACAAATGTGTAGTCTGTCTCAATAGTTGCAGTGGTGACAATAAGTAGAATGCTCACTTTTTCAGAGTCTTGTATCCTGGCTCTGAGGAGTAGTGGCTATGTGCCAATATTTGTGAGGATGGCACTTCCCCTAAATAGATTCAGTAGGCTCCAGAGGACTTATTTTAAAATAATTAAATTTATTAATACAATATTAACAAATAACATATGATATAAAATATTAAAATATAAGAGTCCTGGATAAGCTGAAACGCGTTTCCCTCTTGTAGAGCTTCCTCAGTTAAGCATGGCTTCTGCAATAAGCTCTCATGTATCCATCAAACTCCTTACACATGTCGTTCATCACTTGACAGCAATTCCATTCATCAAATATGACGAATGGTATGGCTGCAAAATCTGCTGCAAAATCTGAAGTAGCTGCACCATAACTACTGTCAGCATATGTACCACTCCATTCATGACTTTATTAATGGAGCTACCAAGCTCAATTGTGCAGCCAATACTCAGCTTCCTTTACAGGGTAGAGCTGGGGCCGTGCATAGCATATTCACACCAAGTTTGCCTTACTTTTCATATATGTAGAAACAAAATGGTCTTATACATTTACATTGTATCCATTGAATAAAGTATTGTAGAGGATTCACTAGGAAAAGGCAAAGAGTCTTGATATAAGAGCTCATGTAGTCACCTACAATACCGCTAAAGGCATACATTACTGCTTTTAATAATCATTTAATTGTTTCTGAAAACATTCTACATTACCTTTAGTTGTAGGTGCTCATAATGTGTTAAAATGTAAAGATTTCTATTTATATGAAGATATTTGCATAAAAAGACTAGGCATTTGACGGGAACAAAGTGACACAGACAGGATGTGTATATATTCAAACAATTATTCCCATCATTTGTTGTCTGGTTTTACCTTATACATTATCTAAGCGCTCATGGAAGGAGGCTGCATATAAAATTCAAAGTTGATTTATCATCTGCATGATTCAGCCCTGACATTTATGAGTCCACTGTAATCATTTAATTTCTGGAAATATATCTTGATATAAAGGAGGGGGGTCTCTGTGCGTGATTGTTTCCTGGGGGTTCTCAGATGAAGCTGCACCAGCTGGGCTCCTGCAACAATAAAATAAAAAAACTAATATTAAAAATCACAGTCATCAGATCAACAACCACCTAGAACCCCTGAAAACAACTAATACCTAAACATATTTTGATATGCTGTCACCCAGGTATCTGTTCCTTTAAATAGAAATGGAGCCAGAGACCTTCAATGTAATATACCCGAAGGGGAGTCGTCCTCCTCTTTTTCTGTGTTAAAGGACCACTATAGGCACCCAGACCACTTCAGCTCAATTAAGTGGTCTGGGTGCCAGGTCCATCTAGGGTTAACCCTGCAGCTGTAAACATAGCAGTTTCAGAGAAACTGCTATGTTTACACTGGGGTTAATCCAGCCTCTAGTGGCTGTCACAGTGAGAAGACGCTGGACGTCCATAGGAAAGCAGTGAGAAATGCTGTTCTATGGACTGTTTGAATGCGCGTGCAGCTCTTTCTGAGTATGCGCATTCAGCGCTAATGTCGGCAGAGGGAGGAGAGTTCCCCAGCGCCAAGGGAACCCGGCGCTAGACAAAGGTAAGTGTTTAACCCCTTCAGCCCCCTTCAGCCCAGCGGGAGAGGGACCCTGAGGGTGGGGGGGGCCTAAAGACCCTATAGTGCCAGGAAAACAAGTAGTGGTTCTTTAAGGAGGCTGACACAGTGTACATCCCACTTAGAATTCTTATACGAAATACTTATGAGATGGTATATGGTCCCAGCCAGATCAGAACACACATAGGGGGAGGAGACAGGGGCATGTTGGAGGAAGAGTTAGTGTAGGGATACGTACACCCATATATGGTGGGAGTGTGCATTGGTGAGATCTATGTGGATACAAAAAGGTTATGAGATGGTATACAGTCCCAGCCAGATTACAAGACACATAGGGGAGTAGATGAGAGCATGTTGGAAGAATTATGGGAGAAGCGGCACATATACACATTTATGGTGGGAGTGTGCACTGGTTCCATCTTTGTGAGAGGGAATCCTTCCAGGATTGCAGGTTATAATATCAGCCCAAATCCACAAATGGCACTGCATAACATGTGCCCAGCGTTCATGGTCACACAGGGTATAAGCTATACTTTCGAGAGACTGATGAATACAGTGCTTAGCAAACCCTGGACCCTGTACTCATGGTAAAGTGCAGGAACAGACGATGGGTTCTCTGGCTAGATTGTTTTGTTAATTTCTAATTATGTTCTATTTGAGTTTGGCTATAGACTGCATATTGATACTTTCCAACTGTGAGTATCCTCTGTATTCATTACATTTGTCTGAAACATTGCTTAATCACCTGCATGATCGCAAATTTATCTTCATGCAAAATCACTAAAACTTCTCAAGTGGGAAAAAAAACTACAGCCATGAAATGAGACTTGTCCTTTTGTATAGTGCAGTGGTTCCCAACCCAGTCCTCAAGTACCCCCTAACAGTCCAGGATTTAGGGATTGCCCCATTGTGTCTAAGGTGTTTTTAGAAAGAAACCAAAAAACTCTTTAATCATACCAGGGTAATCCCTAAATCCTGGACTGGTAGGGGGTACTTTAGGACTGAGTTGGGAACCCCTGGTATAGTGTGACTTTCAAACACCAGAACAAATTTTGATCATCACCCTAAACACATGCCAAAATGAACCTTCTGACCAGAAATGCAATTAAAGGAACACTCTAATAGTATTAGGAAAACAAAACTGTACTCCTAACACTACTGTGTCCATCTGCCTCTGTCCCCGTCCCCCCTCACCACCCATGAGATGAAGTGGTCTGGATGCCTATAGTGTCCTTTTGAAGGGACACTATAGACACTAGAACCAATATAGCTTAAGTTAGTTGTTCTTTTGTGTTTAGCCTGTCCCTGTGGGCTGTTTTATGTAAATACTGCCCTTTCTCAGCCTGTGCATGTAGTCCAGCTGTGCTTTATTCTAGAGAGATACCTGGTTTCCTCTGCTGAAGAAGACTAGGCACCCAACAAGATCCAGGTAAGTTGCCATACTAGGCTAAAATTAGTTGTATATTAAATTTGGGATAATGCCAGGGCATTCCTGGCAACATAATTAGGGCAGAGGGCTGTAGTGGTAATGGTGCATGTAATTGTGCCTTTAAATCCAAATTGCAAAAAGTTATCCTAAAATAGCCAAGTTATCGGATATTTTTTCAGATTTTAATTTGCGGATTAAACCCCTGTGAGATTCTGTATTAAATTCTGTATGTGCTGAATGAGACATCCAACCAGATTAATTTTTTTTTTCCATTTTATTTAGCAATTTGGTTAATTGTAGCCTTCACTTTATCTTATCTGGCTTTGATTTTATGGAGCCTGAATTTGCACAACTCAGTCACCTACATGCTTCACTGACAGGCATTATGCAAGGAGGCCCCATGTCCCTGACTGCCTACACTCAGCTGCTTATAACTGCATCATCTGTAAAAGCTTCTGCAGCTTCAAAGGAACACTATAGTGTTGGAAATAGAAATGTATATCCTAAAGCTATGGTGCCCTGGTGGCTGTTTAGGTTACTGTCCCCCACCTGTAGGGAGTAAAAAAAAAAGTGATTTTACTTACCTTTGCTCCCGTGCAGAGCAGATCTCTGTGCTGCTGTCCCGCCTCCTTAGCTGAGATAATCAGTGTTGATGATCTCAACTAATCCATTGCTTTCCCACAGTAAAGCATTTAGAGGTTAGTGCGCATGCACGGCAAAATGCTACGCTGTGCCAATTTATGTATGTGACCATCTGATTGAAATAGTAGAGTTTTATTCTGCTACTTTGAAGGACACACCTCTAGAGGCATCTGAGCCCTGCAATGAATGGCAATTTTTTCACTTGCAGGGTTAAAATGGTAGACATAGTACCCAGACCACTTCATTGACAGTGGTTTTGGTGTCTAAAGTATTGCTTTAAGCCCACTCAGGGCCGGCCCAAGACATTGTGCTGCCTGGATCCAAGTATGAAATGCTGCTCCCCCCCCTACCCCGCCCAAAAAAAACAACATATATGTTTCTGCAATGGTAGTGTCTCTATGTGGGTATCCTAGGGATGAAGTGTGTGTGTGTGCTGGGGATGTAGTGTGTCTGTGTGTGTGCTGGGGATGTAGTGTGTTCTGGGGATGTAGTGTGTCTGTGTGTGTGCTGGGGATGAAGTGTGTGTGTGTCTGCGTGTGTGCTGGGGATGTAGTGTGTCTGTGTGTGCTGAGGATGAAGTGTGTGTCTGTGTGTGTGCTGGGGATGTAGTGTGTGTCTGTGTTTGTGCTGGGGATGTAGTGTGTGTCTGTGTGCGTGCTGGGGATGTAGTATATAACTGTGTATGCTGGGGATGTAGCTTGTGTCTGTGTGTGCACTGCAGCCAATACACTTAACTATACACTGTGTCTGTGTATATGTATGTGTATCAGTGTTTGTATTTGTGTGTCTGTATCTGTATGTGTGTCAGTGATTGTATCTGTTTGTCTTTGTATCTGCATAGATACAGACACACACTACACATGCACAGATGCACATTACACAAACACACACACAATACACACACTACACATACACAGAGACACACATACAAACACACACTACAAACATTACACCTATACAAACACACAGATACCGACACTACATACAGATACACACAATACACACTACACATACGCAGATACACACACATTACACACATACAAACAGATACACACACTACACATACACAGATACACACATACATACACACACATACAAACACACAGATACCCACACTACATACAGATACACACACTACACATACATACACACATACAGACACACAGACACACACACACACACACACACATAAACACACACACAGATACCCACACTACATACAGATACACAGACTACACATACATACATACAACCACACAGACACACACACAAACACACAGATACCCACACTACATACAGATACACACACATTACACACATACAAACAGATACACACACACGTCAAAATGCTGCCCCTGTCAGATTGCCGCCTGGAGCCGTGGCTCCAGCACGGTCTATAGACGGGCCGGCCCTCAGCCCACTCAAATACATCATGGCGGAAATATTTTTTTTGGACAAATTTAATATTTTTTTAATTCATCAGCCACTCCACTACAGAAATTGTGTATGTTTTCGGAGTATGCTCCTATACCCCGGAATCATACGCCATTTTACCAAGTGCAAAGAAATTAATTTATTGCAAACAAATTTCTTTGCAACTGGTGTCATTAGTGTGCTGGTTGGTCTATGTCTGTGACATGAAACTCCAGCCCTACAATAAGAATATCAATTTTGCAGGGATGCCCTATCATTGCTCAGGCTGGTAAGGGAATTTAAGATCTCCCCACAGACTGTGTGAACACACAAGAGTGAAACAACACACTGGAAGCAGGAAACGCACACATAAGCTACAAGAAATATACACACTCCTAGATACAGAGATACACAGAATCACAGACACATAGATAAACATTCAAACATGCACATATACAATGATCAGCCACAAACCACCTCCCTAATATTGTGCAGGTCCCCTACAAAGGCGTTAGCAACAGATCTTTTAAGTCCTGCAGGTTGCGAGGTGGGGCCTCCATGTTGTTCCAGCAAATCTCACAGATACTCAATTGGATTAAGATTTAGTGAATTTGGAGGCAAAGACAAGAACTTCTCTTTGTCATGTTCCTCAAACATTCCCTTTTCCTCAATTGTTGCAGTGTGGCAGAGTGCATTATCCTGCTGAAAGAGGCCACTGCCATCAGGGAACACTATTGCTATGAAGAGATATACGTAGTCTGCAAAAATTTCTAGGTAGGTGGTACATGTCAAAGTAACATTCTCATAAATGCAAGGATCCAAGGTATCCTACCAGACATTGCCCAAAACATAACACTATCTCTACTGGCCTGCCTTCTTCCCGTAGTGCATCCTGCTGCCATCTCTTCCCCAGGTAGATGACAAAATACACGCCTGACCATCCACCTGGTCTATAAGAAAACGTGATTAATAAGACAAGGCAACCTTCATCTATTGCTCCATGACACTCATGTCCCCATTGACATGAGTGTTATGGACCCCTTTCGGCAGTCAAAAGGGGTCATCATGTGCACTCTGACTTCAATTGTGCATTCTAACACCTTTCTATCATGGCCAGCATTAAGTTTTTAGCAATTTGTGCAATAGTAGCTCTTCTGTGTGATCAGACCAGACAGGCTAGCCTTCACTCCCCACATGCGTCAAAGAGCTTTGGGCGCCCATGACCCCGAGAGCCAATTTTCCCTTTCTTGCACAACATGAAACATGGTCTTTTCATTGCAGGCGTCAAGTTTTTTTCCGGTCCTAACTGGTGTGCTAGTTGGAGTGTGTCAGAATTATAGGGGAGATTCAGGACTCACAGTATGTAAATTTAGAGTAATGGGGGTAAGGTTAGAAGATTGATGGACTCCGGAAGTCCTATAAAGTGGAGCTGTGAAATAAGATCAGATGAGATCAGATTGTTGTTAAAGTTGTGTTTGTAGTGTAATTGAGGAGTCTTCCGGGTCACTATGCCTTTTTTTGAAGCTATAAAGTCTGGATGAGTTAGCAGCTATTTTGCCGACCAGCTCGTCAAATAGTATGTTGTATGAAGTCTAAGTTTGCCTCCAGTTTAGGCCACAGTGAGGCCTTACTATAATCTGCTAGTGAAGCGGCATTGTTATTAGGTAGGTCTGGCGTGACTAAAGTGTCAGATGTGGTTGGGCTTGGCGGTGCGGAAGATGTTTCCTTTGCACAAAAAAAGTGTTTTTGAAAGATATTTTGAATGTTTGGATAGTATTGTAACTGTGATATTTATATCAAAAGAGAAAGTAAAGCATCAAAAGTAAAATAAAGTATGTACAGCCCTTAAGCCTACTAGACTTTTCACAGCAGAGATATTATGTTGAGTAGGTGACCTAGATATGAGCATACGTACAGCTTTCTTCACATGATGTTAGGCCTTGTGTCTTTAATGGAGTGAGCTCTTGACCTACCTTCAGCCCATTACTTGTTTCTTTGGTGGCTCTTGGATCTGTTCATTGTGCTTGACCTGGTACTCAGAGTGCATGATCATCTGGTTTTGGGCTTCTCCCCTCAGCTCCCTGAGTGGACAACATGGCGTCCGCTCACTCATGGCTATATCAGACTCAAGGTGCTCTTTCATTCACCAAGTGTTGCGATTGGGGACCTGGCTGCAGGCTGCTATGTCAGCAGGCCCAAATATGGGCACCGCTATGATGGAGCTTTCTTGCCTGCATCCACTGCTGTTGGCTCCTTTGCCAGAAGTCCTGTTTAACTTTTTTAATGTGGTGTCTAGCTAGCAAGTCCTGGCCAGATGTCACATAATTTATCTGTACACCACAGAGGGGTTGTTTTTGTAAACTATTTGCCCACTATTTGCCCACTGGCTCTTACCTAGTTGAAGCCTCAGGACCCAGATTTAATTCATTAGCTTGGTCCTGAATGACAAAAACATTGATGTTTTTTCACTCCGAATGACCCTGTTTGCAGCCGAATGTTTTTGCCCCATTCATTAAAGGGCCATTCGGACTAGTGAATAACCTTGATAGGCTGAAGTATTACCAAACAATAATTTTAAATATGTATTTCCATATCCACTGTAACATAATTACCTAGTTTTATATTTGTGAAACTGGTTCCTTTTATGACTTGCCTAGGACATTTCAGATCCCATTCGTTAAAATACAGTAAACTAATCAGTGCCGTAGCTCTGTATCAAGTTCAGATTGAGACAAATAAGGAACATAATTCACTGATAATGTATTTTCTACAGATGCAATTTAGCAGTTTCAGCTGCTGAGAATGGAAAATAAGATACAAATAGTATGTGTGATATAAGAACTAACTGTACTTTAAACTTTGCTCAATAATAATTTTCCATTAATTAACTTTTTACATTATTTTAAGGCACCATATGGTGTCAAAGTCACTTAACGTATCTGGATACAATGTGAGCCATTGATTTACAGCTAATTATAAACACTGAACTCTTAACGATCTAATAGTTAACTCTGTGCAACAGTCAATAAAGTTCAAGTACAACGCACACACGTTATCTGGACAACGCACGTACATTAGCTGGACAATGAATGCACGTACAATATCTGGATTCTGTGCACATTGTAACAGTGCATAATTAGAAACCTATATGTTTTTCAAATCCTTCTGAAATCCAGTTATTTCATGTCATTCATTTGTTCTGGCATGTTGATGATTTGCAATATGGTTAGGGTTACAATGTGTCCCCCTTTCAAGTTGTTATTGGACTGTAATTGCCATCAAAACCACGACAGGACAATGGGAATAAATATAGAACAACGGACGTTATGCCATGTCCATATAAACATATGTAACTCAAAATTATAGTTACATTATAGCTCCTCCAATTATAACTCTATTCAAGGGAGGGCTGGCATAAGTCGCAGGAGGCAATTGCCCTCTGGGCTGCAAGTATATAAGGTTGCGGGCTGCACCCTATCCTCACTATTCTTCTGGCATATTAATAACTGGTGAATTGTGATGTCTGTTAGCAGAATATGGCAGTGGTGAGGCACCAGGCAGGAATACTGTGCATTATTTGCTAGTCCAGCGCTGTATGAGTTTGTGACTCGACTGGTGTCACATGATCTCAATGCTCTTCAGATCTGCTCTTCTATCAAGGGCCGCCGGACAGGCTGCCGGCCTGTGATAAATGTGTATTGAGTCCCTGGAGGTGTTTGAAAATTACCCTTGGGTGAGATCAGCCAGTGCTTAAGACATTCCAGATACTGGTCGCTGGTTTTTGGTGACAATAGATATGGGATAAACAAAGTCTGCATCTTACTTAGAGCAGGTCCCACTGATGGAGGTTGCAGGGATATATAATTACTCAACTCACGACTCCAGTAGCCTCCATCTTTCAACAAATATTTTTGCGCCGTGAGTTGGACTATCCGCACTGACAGCCATAAGCTTCATGTGCAAAAAGACAGTTTTTACTTGTCTTCCAGGCAGCCCTCTGGCCCCCACTTACATATTTTACAATTTATATTGTTAGATAACATATTTCAGTTTGGATACATTTGTGAACGTTCGTAGAAGCTGTCTGCCCTGTATGTCGCCATCTGGAAACATATTTCTTTGTTTGTGTAAGTTCGAGTCTGACAGCTTTTCCAATCTGTATATATATAGGAATATTTTATATTATACTTTCAATGTTAATGACAAAATCAAGAATCATTTTAGGCTAGAATAATTGCATTAGGCCTAATTTTGCCAAAGTTTTCAAATTCCCATGTCAATTCTTTTCATTCCTTAGTTGACGAATAACCCGTTCTGTTTATGAAATAGCTTGGTATTTCCAATCTTCAGTAATGACCACAAGGGGAAAAAGTAATTTTTTTGTGACTAATGTCAACAAACCCAACGTGCTTGACAATTATTTTGTACACAGTATGCTAGTAATCTCAAAATTAATAAACCGATTTTATTATCAATTTGGTTGAATGCATCTTGTTGAAGGGTTATTGGGTTTGCAAAGATGAGCAGGTCAACTGAGCATTATTCACTCAAAAGGGATTAGTCCATTAAAGTAACACGATAGCGTTAGAAATACAAACCTGTATTTCTAATGCTATAGTTTCCCTGTCCCTAGTTTTGTAGGACTGCCCTAGGAATATAAAGGATTACAAAACCTTTTTAACGTACCTTTTTTAAAGTACCAAGGCTCCCTTGGTCCTGGCTAGTTATCCTCCACCCGCAACGTTAAGTCAATGGTGGACCTCATGTGCAAAGCTTTCCGCACCCACAGTAAAGTTTCCCCAGTGGAAGTGGACTTAACACTGCAATGTAAACTTTGTAGTTTCTAAGAAACTGCAATGTTTTACATTGCTGGGTTAAGGGGACTGGGGCACTGCACCCAGACTACTTCAATTAGATGAATTGGTCTGGTTGCCTACAGTGTCCATTTAACATCCCATAGTGTAGATTGGAGTGCTATCATAACTTAATAACTACAGAGAGAGATTTAATTTGGCACTTGTGAGCTTTAATTACAAACCAAAACCTAATATATTAGCATAGAAGCATGTCACACATTATTTTTTAACGTACCTTATTAAAGGAACACTACAGTGTTAGGAATGCAAACATGTATTCCTAACAGTTTAGTGCTGGAGTTCATGTGTAGGTGACCGACCCCCTCAGAATGGAGTTAAAAGTTATTTAAACTTACCTTTTTACCATTGCCACGCTGGTCTTGTAGAAGCTGGTCACACCCCCATGGCTGAGATCATCAATCTTGATGACAGCCAATTCATTGTTTTCCAAAAGGAAAGCATTGGGAGTCTATTGTGCATGCGCTGCAAAACGCAGTGCTGCACCAATCGGCATCTCCTCATAGAAATGCATTGAACGAATGCATCTCTATGGGAAGCGTTCAATGTCTCCATGCAGAGCGTGGAGACGCTGAACGTAGATGCTGCACACAATCCAGCACTGAAACAGGAAGCACCTCTAGTGGCCGTCTGAGTGACAGCTGCTATAGGTGTTACTAGGCAGCAATGTAAACACGGTCTTTTCTGAAAAGACCTCTGCCTTGCTGAGCCTGCAGGGACAGGCCATTGACACCAAAACCACTACATTAAGTTGACTATTCATTACAGAGTTATATATTAATGTGAGAATCATCTGGAATTTAAAGTGAATTCTTACTTTTGACTAAAATAGTTTAACTGGAATCACAGCTGGGAATGTTTCCAATTTAGATATTTATAGCCCTAAATTTGAAATTCACTTTAAATTCTCAACAATTATTTACTTTGAATTCCCAGCAATTCTTACTGTAGTAAATAACAGAATTATATATTTTTTCATTATTTCAAACATCAAATTTAAACAGACTGTAGAGGTCTTCAACTATTTATCAGTGTAAATTAACATTTTGTATGAAAAATATATATATTTTTTTTCTGTAAGGAAACATACAGACCTCTCATATGCATCCCCTGTGGATTGTAAAGTCAAAAATGTATCATCTCCTACAAATGCTGGGTTGTCCATTGGATAAATACTGTAATACTGAGGTGGACACAATGGTGACATTGCCCCATTACTCAAGATAGCATTGGGAAGAGGAGTTGTAGAGGTAGCACCCATCGTTGAGACATCTTGGGTTGTGTAGGGTGGTGGAATGTACTGAAGCACTGTGGCACCGTGAAAGGTAATGGGCTGGTTGATCCCACTGAAAACAAAGGACTGAGGGCTTGAAGGCATCTCCCCATCTGGTGTAGTTTCTTCGTTGCGTCTACGTGATTTACATATATGTAACTTAAACCTGCACACTGGAATTAGTGCAAATAATACGCCAACTGTTAACATGATTGGTCCAATCAACTGAGTCCACTCAAAGGAGTTCTCACCTTCACGTTTCATTGACCCTATCACCGTGAACGCAATTCCAACCAGTCCCAAAAAAATTCCTGAAAATAGTAAGGTGGCTCCTGCTTTACTTCCATCTGACACCTGAGACTCAGGTCTGCTGTTTTGAGGTGGGGTGAAAGAGAAGACATTCGAGGAAAACTCATCCACTGGCACGCTGTTAGTCTGCTCCATTATGAGGAAGCAAATGGCTCTTGTTAAAGCCTAAGAAGAGCTTCCTAGCAATTCACAGGGGTAAAGGTTCAGTTTGCTTGACTGAACAACCTGCTCAACTAATTACTGCAGTATTACTTATATAAAGTTAGACTTTGGTAGGGAAGTATAAAGGTCAGAACAATAGAGCGGAGATACTGTGAATATCTTGGATCTGCAATGGACACATTTTACATATATAAATATACAATAAATTAATATAGTCTTCTTTTAGAAAGATTAACTGCCTTGGAGTACTCAATACATTACTCATGTACCTCTTTTATTGCAAATGATTAATTATATACATAATCCCATATAATTGTGTGTTTTTCGATACTGCCAGTGCTGAATTAGCTTTCATTTGGACCTTAGGCAAATGTTGGAATACCTTAGCTTTCCACCATTATGCTTAATTCAGAGTATAAATAAGTAAAGAAATTATTATCTTGAAAATAAACACTTTTTGACACTTTTATACTTTTGTATTTTTAGATGTAAATTTAATGATTGTATCTGTCAGGGGCCACATTGGTTATATTTTAGCAGACCTTGCAGCTTCACTGTATACAATTTTATTGTGGCTATGTGCAACACATATTATTATGCAAAAAAAAAAAAATCCTTATTATAATTATTTTCATTTTTTTTATTGTAAAAACCCTAGCATTGGTTATTGAGCATTATATCATCTTTTTAACCCCTTCAAGACAGAGTCAATAGTGCACGTTCTGATCAAAACAATACGTAAACAAAAACTGGTATTTGCGCTATATGTCTGTTCAACCGTAATTCACCGCTGTCACATTAAGTGCACCCACACTTATTATATATCATTTTGTTCAGGAGAAACAGGGCTTTAATTTATCATTAACTATTAATATATGGAACATAATTTATTATGAATAAAATAAAAAAAATTAGAAAATAAGATTTTTTTTTTAATTTGTATTTCCGTCTGACATTTTAGCTGTGAATGTCATAATACGTTTTAGTTTTACTGCAAAAAAATGCACATATTTGTAATCAGCAATGTCTCACGAGTACAACAGTACCCCCCATTAACAGGTTTTATGGTGTTTTGGAAAGTTACAGGGTCAAATATAGAACGTTCCAATTTCAAATTGAAATTTGCCAGATTAGTAATGTTACCTTTGAGACGGTGTGGTAGCCCAGGAATGAGAATTATCCCCTTACATAATGGCATACCATTTGAAAAAGTAGACATGTTGGGTATGTTTAGTCTTTTTTAGTAGCCACCTAGTCACAAACACTGGCCAACTTTAGCATTCATATTTGTTTTTGTGTGAAAAAAGCAAAAAACTAATATTTGGCCAGTGACTAAGTGGCTACTAAGAAAGACTGGACATACCCCACTTGCAATACCTTGAGCTGTCTACTTTTGCAAATGGTATGCTATCATGGGGGTAATTCTCATTCCTGGGCTACCATATGCTCTCAAAGGCAACATAACCAATCTGGCAAATTTCAATGTCAAAAAAATGAAATGCAAGCCTTATATGCGACTCTTTAACTTTCCAAAACACCATAAAACCTGTACATGGGGTGGTACTGTTATTCTCGGGAGACTTCACTAAACACAAATATTAGTGTTTTAAAATAGTAAAACATATTACAACAATAATATAGTCCGTAAAAGTGACGTTCGTTTATCAAAAATGCAAAAAAAAGTCACATTTACTTAAAATATCATCGTTGTAATACAATTTACCAGTTTGAAACACTAATATTTGAGTTCAGCAAAGTCTCCCAAGTAAAACAGTACCCCCTATGTACAGGTTTTATGGTGTCTTGGAGAGTTACAGGGTCAAATATAGTGCTTGCAAATTAAATTCTCTGCACTTTCTCCCTGTGTTGTCAGGCATGTCAATCAAATTTTAATTAATCAAATCACATAATTATGTTAAAAGATTACTTAAATATACACGTAGAATTTTAATATATATGCATTTATAGGTATTTAAATTTTACATGTATACTAATGTAATCTTTTATGTAATTATATATATTTATATATATATATATATATATATATATATATATTTATTTGCTGTTATTTGTATTTTATATATAGATATATATAGCATGTCATTCTAAGTGTATTTTGTTACCTATATATATATTAATAACAAAATACAGTTAGAATTAAATTACATATGAATATATAATTTATATAAAATTTTGTTTCAATATTTTATTTATTAATTTTATTTTGTTTATTTATTATTGTAATTATACGTATATATATAATATATGTGTATATATCTATTATAAATATAATATATACATATTATATATATGTAACGTCATTCTAAGTGTATTTTAATACTAATATATGTGCTTATATTAATATTAAAATACACTATGTGAACCCTTTGGAATGATATGGATTTCTGCACAAATTGGTCATAAAATGTGATCTGATCATCATCTAAGTCACAACAATAGACAATCACAGTCTGCTTAAACTAATAACACACAAAGAATGAAATGTTGCCATGTTTTTATTGAACACACCATGTAAACATTAACAGTGCAGGTGGAAAAAGTATGTTAACCCCTAGACTAATGACATCTCCAAGAGCTAATTGGAGTGAGATGTCAGCCAACTGGAGTCCAATCAATGAGATGAGATTGGAGGTGTTGGTTACAGCTGCCCTGCCCTACAAAAATACACACACCAGTTCTGGGTTTGCTTTTCACAAGAAGCATTGCCTGATGTGAATGATGCCTCTCACAAAAGAGCTCTCAGAAGACCTACGATTAGGAATTGTTGACTTGCATAAAGCTACAATACGTAATACACTAAACAAGAATGGATTTCATGGCAGGATACCACAGAGGAAGCCACTGCTGTCCAAACAAAACATTGCTGCACGTTTACAGTTTGCACAAGAACACCTGGATGTTCCACAGCAGTACTGGCAAAATATTCTGTGGACAGATGAAACCAAAGTTGAGTTGTTTGGAAGAAACACACAACACTATGTGTGGCGAAAAAAGGCACAGCACACCAACATCAAAACCTCATCCCAACTGTGAAGTATGGTGGTGGGGGCATCATGGTTTGGGGCTGCTTTGCTGCTTCAGGGCCTGGACGGATTGCTATCATCGAAGGAAAAATGAATGCCCAAGCATATCAAGACATTTTGCAGGAGAACGTAAGGCCATCTGTCTACCAGCTGAAGCTCAACAGAAGATGGGTGAAGATGGGTGTTGCAACAGGACAATGTTAAACAGAAGAAAATACGCCTTCTGAAGTGGCCCAGACAGAGTCCTGACCTCAACCCGATTGATATGCTGTGGCATGACCTCAAGAAAGCGAATCACACCAGACATCCCAAGAATATTGCTGAACTGAAACAGGAATTGACAGGAATGGTCAAGAATTACTCCTGACTGTTGTGCACGTCTGATCTGCAACTACAGGAAACGTTTGGTTGAAGTAATTGCTGCAAAAGGAGGTTCTACCAGTTACTAAATCCAAGGGTTCACATACTTTTTCCACCTGCACAGTGAATGTTTACATGGTGTGTTCAATAAAAACATGTCAACATTTCATTATTTGTGTGTTATTAGTTTAAGCAGACTGTGATTGTCTATTGTTGTGACTTAGATGATAATCAGATCACATTTTATGACCAATTTGTGCAGAAATCTATATCATTCCAAAGGGTTCACATACTTTTTCTTGCAACTGTATTGGCACTAACCCTCTACTATTACCCTTAACCACCCACCACAGGTCCTAACACCCAACTACAGGACCTAGCCCCCTACTATTGCCCCTAGCTACCCATCGCAGGTCCTAACCCCCATTACTGACCCTTATTCCCCACTACAGGTCTTAACCCCCCATTACGGGTCCTGACCTCTTACTACTGCCCCTGACCCCCCATTGCAGGTTCTAACCTACCACTTTAGCCCCTAACCCCTCACTTCAGCCTTTTAAGCTCCAATACGGCTTCTAACTCCTTACTTATTCCTCTAACCACTCTCTACACTGCAAACCCCACACTACACCCCAAATCCCGAGACTATCCATCACTACAGCCCCTTACCCTGACTGCTGCCTTTAAACCCTCACTACAGCACCTAAACTCCTCCACCCCCCAGCTATATTGAGCAGAGCGGGGGCTAACTTGACTCTCCCTTCACGTTTTGTACTAAATGGAAATTTCACTACTTCCTACATACATTTCCCACACATCACACATTGCCATACATAACCCTCATCATCCTCAAGGAAGAGGTCAGCCAGCAAAAGACTAGGCACAGGAGTATTTCATTTTATTTCAATTTATTTTGAGTATTTTTTTTTTTTTCAATAGCTGTGGGGGTCATAAACTAAACAGCCACATCAGGACTGTAACGTTAGTAATACAGATATTTATTGCTAATGCTACAGTGTTCCTTTCATCTAATAATGTCACAATAGTGTTTACAAAAACTCTAGCAAATATGCATAAAACGTAACGAACAAGAAATGTGGTACTAAAGGACAGTAGATATCAAGAACTTTGTTTTTTTTTAATTAATTTTCCTTTCCTTTTCGTTTGTCTCCATTCCAAGTAAAAAGAAAAATGTTTTGTTAAAGTAATACAGATACCCCCAATTAACTCTTGAGTGCCATTGTTGCAAACAGCCGGACTGGAAGGATCTTGAATAGAAATTCTAGAAATATAGGTTGTCAGTAACACCACTACTTCAAGCTAGTGATCTGGATGGCCGCCTGTTACATGAGCTTGGTGCTGACAAACTAATCAACACAAGAGTAAAGGTTTTTTTTTTCCATACTCCCGAAGCCTGCATATCAAACCTGCAGCTGACACCCACAATATGGCGTGGAAAGACAAAAAATCTAGACCCGATAAGCAGAGAATGGGCATGAATTTCGGTGACTTATGGCAACAGGCCCAGAGCAGGGTGGACCCTAAAATGGCCGACTTCTCAGACAACAACACTGAGATGTCAGACAACCTTTCACTGGGAATAGCAGAGTGGGACACACCGGAGGGCTCTCAAGCTTATCACGTACCATCCAGGCTGACATGGCCTAGCTCCGAAAGACCTGCAAGGTTTAACGAGCCGCATGGGAGCTTTGGAGAGCAACACCCACCAAAACACCCAGCAAACAGCCCAACTTCAAGTGGCAAGACCTGCAAATCCAACAAGAGAAAACAGACCAAAAGGTTTGCGGTGCTGGAGGATCAGAGGCGCAGACTAAACCACAAGATAAGAGGTATATCGGAGGAGACAGAGCTACCACATCTTATACAGCTTCTCCTCACATCACTACTACCACCCAAGCAAGTTAAACTGGTGGGACTGGAGTGGATATTCCACCTGCAAAAACCAGCGGAAGCACCGACCTCAGCACTGAGAGTACAATTCCAAAGCGGCAAGGATAAAGCAGCTGTCATGAACCACTCACCATACATCTTCGAAGGTATGACGCTCACATTCTACGCGGACTTGTCCGGGAACACAATGGCGTGGGGAAGATCATTCCAGACCTTCACGTCTCTCCTCTGGTATAAAGGCTTCACATACAGATGGAAAATGCAGCGCATGCTGAAAATTCAACATGGCACTGCAACATAATCTGTCTGGGATCTCCAGTAAGCGAAGGATCTTCTCCTAACACTGGGACTGCCAATGGATGCCCTGGCCATAGTACGACCATGCACTACCACCTCCCCAACCCACACATGAAATCCAGCAGCAGTGCTTCCATTCATATCCCGGGGGGTAAAACCAGACGCCTATGTGGCTGCCACCACTTGAAAGGCTCCTGTATGCCTGCAGAGACACGCTTGTACTTACCCATCACAAACATTTTATATATTTTTCTGTTGATGTTAAAATGTTATAATTTTACTGCCACTCTTACCAGGTACTGCTTAATATGTTTTATACGCAAGGACTTGGGTACAGCGGGCAGGACACAACGACCACATTCCTAAGCATGCAGAGCACCATATTGACGCATAACACCCCCTGCGACACCTACAAACACAGGGTACAGGAATACACGCATAACACTTGAGCAGCACCCTACCTCTCGTACTAAATAGAGATGACAAAACCTTTTCAAAGCCCACAGCACACAGCATTGGAGAGGCATTACCCCAACCAGGCCCCCCCACACACACCAACCCCTACTGTCTTAGAGCGGTACCTAAACTAACCCAGGATTCGACGTTAACCCTATAAATCGATATAACCACATGGCTACAACGACCAACTGTGCATTTGCTCCCGCTCGTCGCAGGACAGAGGAGGAGGCAGGGCTGCCACCCAGCATTGAGGGACATCGCTGGGATCATGTTAGTAAATATAGGGGTTTTAACTCTTTATTGACCACAGCAGGATGAGGTGAGGGAGGGGGGAGGTACAGAGAGCTATAGTACCAAGAATACAGTTTTGTATTTCTGGCACTTATAATATCTGTGACAAACGTGCCTATGCCACGTGCTCCTGGAGGAGTCTGTAAGCTAGCCTCCTGCCCAATGACTATTGACTGTATCCAAAGACACTGTTCGGGAGTTAAACCTCCACAGCCACTATTAGGAGCTTTCCCTGAGTAGCTGGTTCAGCACTTTCCCTATATTCAACTGGAGCCAAACACTAGCTCCCTGGCGGCCGTTCGCATGAAGAAACCCACGAATTGTCCTCAGCGGTACTTACCCGCGATCGTTATGGAACTAAATTCGGCATGAGGACTTTGTGGGTTCCTGCTCGCCTTAGCTGGAGTTAATTGCAAATGTTGTGGAACGGTTTTGGGCATGAGGTGACCGTGCGGCTCCCGAACAACTTGGTCCGGGGTTTTGAATGACTTTGCAACCCAACAGGAGAGCGCTTTTTGGAGGGAACCCTACCTAGGAGCAAGCAGGAGTACCCTATATTTCAGACGCAATAGTTCCTGAAAGTTGACTGGCCAAAGCACCAAACGCCCTGGAACGGTTTTGGGCATAGGACCATGTGTGCAGACGGTTAGAACTGTAACACGGTGGCATTTCCCCTACACTGCGTGGATCTGAGCGCTATTTGGAGAACTAAGATGCTCAGGACTATTTGGGGTTGTATTATTTGTGGGGTTGTTTTTTTTTTTTTTAGGTTTTTGGGTATTTTTATGTTTTATATTTTTAATATAATTAGCTTACCAGTCTTTAACGCAATTATCTCCCAGGCACAGAGATTTATGGGAGGAGCTTTCTCTTCATTGAATGGAGACCCCATTCTGGGGGCTGTGTATAAAAGCAGGCAACTTGGCCATAATAAACCAATTCCTTTACAACCTTCACTCAGTCTCGACTAGTGTTTGGGTGTACCATCTATACACTCTGCAGGAGAGGTTTGATCACTATAAGCTATACCCAAGACCCTGTTCCAGGGTGGGAAGGGACGGTGAGACCCCAGCTGGGCTGCGGCGGATAGGGGCTGAAGTGCTGATGGTGTCCCGGCAATGGCTAGGAAGCGTGCTTGGCGGAGGTACCCAGTTGGGATACCAGGCGGTCCGCCACAAGTATCCCTTTAATAAATTAACATCCTGAACAAAGAAATAGTAAAACCGCATGCATAAAAAGTAGAATGAAGGCAGCACTATATCCTGAGGACGGCCCTGCCACAGTTTAAGATACATTACCAGTTGCATTATATATAGATACAAAGACAAACACACTGTAAAAAGCAAAATAAACATCACAAAAAAAAAAAAAGTCTTATTTGTTATAGTTTGCATTTTTATTAATTTTCTGAGGGAAAAAAAAAACACTTCTGGCATTTTTTATGTTTATTCAATAAATAACATTGTTTGAACATTATGGCTTTGATTTAATATATATTTTTTTATAACTTTTACAATTATGTAAAGGAATAGTCCACACCACTAAACACTTCACATATTAAGCACCTCAGCAAGCTTTTTTTAGATTTTTTTTTTTTTTTTTTTTTAAAGGGCAGATTAAGAAAGTAAGCTGGTTACACCCTCTGACTATCAGACACCTGGCTTGATACTTCCTGGAGCTAAACTCAAGAGGCAGCAATTACCCAGAGCACCTGCCTTGCAAACACTTCTCATTGAGTTGCATTGGGAAGTCTGTGATTGGACAGCCACAGAACGTCTGGGCGGGGTTAGAAAGGGAGGACTTTTGCTACAGACAAGAGATCTACAAGCTGTTTTAAAATATACTTTAATGAAAAAAAATTCATAAATAAATAAATACATGGATCAAGGGGCGTACCTAGAGCAATTGGTACCTGGGGCGGGTCCTATTTTTGCCGCCCTCCTTTAATTTTTTTCAAGTTTTCTTTTTAAATTTAGCACTAAGTGTTTCGGTGTTTGTGAGTGTAAGCATGTTTTTGTATGGAGTATGTGTAAGTGAATGTAGGGTGTGTGTTTGTATGTGGTGTTGGAGTTTGAATGCAGGCATGCATTTTTATGTAGTGTGGTTTTTTGAATGCAGTGGTGTGGTTATATATAATGGTGGGGTTTGTGTGTAGTGTGTGGTTGAAATGCAGGGGTGTATTTGTGTGTAGTGTTAGCGAGATTCTGAGATGTATACACATACACACATACAGACACACATGCAGACACAGTGGCAACTCTAGGAACAATATATAGGGGGAGGGCACTACAAAACTGGGGGTAGCACTAAAACCTTTCACTAGGGGATGGAGTAACACGTTGGCATCAGTCAAAAAATTTGCATATAATTCACATTATCTAATAAATATTAATACCGCACTCTGACACAAAGTGTGTCTAATGATGACAAAAAGTATCTGAATTATGCAAAATTTAAAATCGGTCATTAATTTTTAAATGATATATACATTCAAAAAACCGCAAACAACCTCATTCATATGATACAACCCTTACTTATAACAACAATTCATCTTATGTATAAATTTCATTTGTATGTCTCTGTAATTTAGTTAATAACAAATCGTTAAACCTGGTGGATCCACCAATTTACACTCTACTATTAAATAGAAAACTCTCGCTCAGTAGGGAAACATCCAGCAGTCAGACCAAAAATTCTATTTCCAAGACAGATTAAAAGAAAAAAAAAAAAAAGTCAATATATATATATTTCTAGATGAGTACACACAGCATGCCACTGCATGGATGTTTGATTGGGTATATCTACTCACTTGTGATCAATATGGGTTAGTCTCAATGCAATGTCAATAACCAGTGGCTAAGGCCAGTAAGGTATTGTCATGTGTAAAAAGGGGCATTAGTTCTCGGGATCAGAATATCATTGTGCCTCTTTATAAAATCACTGGTAAAAACCACACCTTGAATATGCTATGCAATTTTGAGCACCTGTGCTAAAGGAAAAGTGCAAAGGCAGGCTACAAAATTAGTAAAAGGAATGGAACATTTTAGTTATGAGGAAAAATTTACAAATTTATACCTCCTTTAGTTTAGAAAAACCATCATCTCTGTGTCAGGGTGGCGGTCCAGTGCCCGGGACCCAGACACTGTCCGGACGGCGGTGCGAGGACCGGGACCCAGTATGCATGATCTTCAGAGTAGGAGTCAGGTGGATTAGCAAAGTCTGGTGCAGAGCACCAGCGTTTGTGCAGCCACGTACCAGAACCCTGAATGAGCTTATGCGTATCCCAGGAACTAGGAGCTTTGAATTAAGCAGACCTCAAAGGAGCTGAATAGGGAGGCTCTGCAGCAGGAGTGTATCCAGTACAGAAGCAAGGCAAGACTAGATAGGCACCATACATGAAAACAAGACAAAACTAGGAGAACCCATAACCAGAGAAGGATAGGAAGCTAAACCCAGAACATGTACACAAGACATGAGAAAAACAAGAACATAACATGGGCATGACTGGACAGGACTGTACATGGACTGGGATTACAAGACAAAATAAAACAAGACAAGAGATATAAGGTAAAACAAGAGATATAACTAAGCACTATATATGAAAATCATGGGGATTTAGTTACATTATATGATCATACATTGCATAAGCCTGCCAACAACGCCGATGTACCCAGGAGCTTGGTCGGCAGCCGCCATTTTGGTTGCTGATTGTGGGTAGCTTGCGGTCACCGGAGCTTGTCAGAGCCTGTGACCTTGTGTGATGTGGACCGGGATGACCACCACCGGTCCAAGGGGGTGGGGGGGAGAACGTGGGCTCTGCGGTAGGTCAGCCGGGTATAAAGGTGGCGGGAGAGCGGCTGTCTCTCCCGCGCTGCCCGTGTGAATAGACCGCATATTAATGCCGTGCGGTGTATCAGCCCAAGCAGGCCTCAGTGGCTGGATCAGGGCACCCGGCTCTCGATATGCTTGTTTATGGTATCGGGGTGTTTGCCTGGGTGTCCCCAGTTTGGTAAGAGCTGACCTGGAGTTGGACATGCTGAGTTTCCTGGGTTTTTCCCCAAAAAAGTCGATTAGTCTTAAAAGCTGGGAATCGGCACTTCTGTTCTGCCTGCTCGGCTCCGCCCCCGTCCCTTTTAAACTTTTAGATAAACTTTTCATATAATTTATTTTTTGAAGTCACCAATAAAAATAAGTCTAGGGACGTTTTTGTAGATAAGTCACTTGAAATGTTTATCCAAAGATATTAAAATTGAGACCTATATTGGCAAGGATTCAAAAGTATTTTTATTTTATAAAATAATTTAGGAAAGGGTATAAATTAGTAATTTTAAAACACAGCTTATCTTACACAATAATTCTACACATATGTGGATATTTTTATTTTAGAATACCAATTTATTATTTGGGTGAAAAAAAAAAAATTGCTATGCAGGCAGGTCTCCAAATCTATGGAATGAAGGCATACATTTACCAATGGGAACATTTCTGTACATACTTTTAAAGACATGTTCTGCATCATCAAAAACATGGGAATTAAAGGGAATACATTATTATATACATCAATAGCCCAGATACTGGACATGGAACATCTCTCATATCATAGACAGATTTAAGCTTGAATCAAAATTGTTTAAAACAGTCACTTAATGTGTGCTCTCAGTTTAGTCATCACCTACACCTGACCAGGACTTCCTTTTATTAAGGCAACACTGTAAGTACTGTAACTGCTTTGTCTCATTGAATTGGCTACAATGCACAAAGTCCCCTGGCACAGTTTTTCCAGTCAGTGTTAAATGGTTTTTAACGTTTTAATGCTAAATGAGAGTCCTCAGTAGCCATACTACCCCTGTGCTGCTCAGGGTAACGAGGTAAGCATTAGCCTGAGCAGCAATGGGCAGCTGTGATTGGCTGAGTGTGTCAGCTGACAGCTATCATCCTATCACAGTGCTCACTGCAGGTATGAAATCGATACAATTACAAGGAAGTGTGTAATGTCTGCCTTAGCCAAACCGCCAGTTGGGGGTGGGGTTATAGGAAGCCTAAAAAAGTTTAACACTGAATAAAGGGACAGTGCTTGGTGACTGTAGACATCATAACCAATTCAATTAAATTGTTATAATGCCTATAATGTCCCTTTAACTAAAACTAACCCTTCTGAAATTCTTAGTGCATTAGTGAAAATGGTTAGTTGGCCATTTGTAAACTAGTATGGTTGTGCCTAGTTCAACTCATAGGCTCCCAAACAGTTTCTTCAAACAAAATGTAACTACCTATTTCAAGCACCAAAAAAAAAAAAAAAAAATAGAGTCTGCCTCCAATGTGAAATGTCACAATACCTTAGAGGCAAACAATATCTCAGGAAAGTCCAACCACTCTACTTGAATCAAATAAAAACCACACATTTAAAATGGAATTGTCATTCAGTTAGTCTATTTGGCCTAGTGAGTATGAGAAGAACCCTGTGATGGTGCATCTGGCTCAGAGGATGAAGGATCTTCATTATCAGGCTTCGAAGGATCTTTTTCTTCATACTTTGGTGGTGGGTCCAATGGACAAAATGCATTGGAATCCGCAGAATGACTAGGTAGAGGAATAGTGTATATAGTTTCTCGAACACTACTGCGACCTTCATGACGAGTTCTGCAAAGACAACATGGCATCATAACGTGCACGTTGAACAAATAGAATATATAAAAGGAACAGATTTTGTAATCTATTTTTAAACGTATGTTAGAGAAAGAAAATATATATTCTGAACAAAAATAAACACAAACCACTGGTACATATATCAAGGATAGTGGGCGTAATGGGGACAGCAATAGTTTTTATTTTTTTAAACTAACAGTTAAATAGAATGCATTTCAATAATGAAGAGATTTTAAATTGAATCAATGCATCTCTATGGAGATAGTTTGGAATCTCCATAAAGAGCATGGAGGTGCTGAACATAGACCTGCACAGATTGCATGACCTAACCCAGGAAGTCCCTCTAGTGGCTCTCCGAGTGACAGCCACTAGAGGTATTACTAGGCAGCAAAGTAAACATTTTTCTATGAAAAGGCAGCATTTACATTCAAAAGACTGCAGGGACAGGCTATAGAAACCAGAACAACTACATTAAGTGTCCCTTTATGTACCACATCCAATTCCAAAAGACTGTACATTTCTTTTTTACATTTAGCTTTATATATTTTTTGACATTGCAACATCAATAGGGATTCTTATAACAGTCCTGTTTTTCAGTTTTCTTACCTGATGCCCATTGTACTCTGTGCAAGACCGTACCTGTGGCGAATGTGACCTCGCCACGGGCTCCTGGAGGAGCCTGCTTGCCAGCCTCCTGCCCACAGACTATGTGCCTTGCAGGAAAACCTCTATAGCTACAGACAGAGCCAACGTTATTCATTGTTATATATCACCCAGAAGGGCATTCACGTTCATGTCCCATCGCCCGATACTCAAACCACCGAACGGGTTCCGAACAAGGACCCCCTACAGCCTGGCGTGTGGCCTCAATTAGAACGTTGGTTTCTGCGGCTAACCGCAGGTTAAGTACCGCCTTCCTGGCGGTCTTCATTCGTCTACCGAACGGCGGAGACATCCAGCAACAGAGCGGGGATTCGTGCAAACTTCTAGCCGGTCCCTATTCCACAAGTTTGAGGGTGAAGTCCCGCTGCCTATTAGTTCACCTCCAAACATGGCCGCCATCTCGAGCTCAGAACCAAAGACATGAACAGACTTCTTATCGGGGAAATTAAGTGTACCATTCGTGGGTTCTGAGCGCTCTTCGGGTAATTGTTTCGCCTAAACCGGGGCTATGTAATGAATGGTAGAAGGCACAAATTATATATAAAACTGTTAGAGTTATGTATTTTTATCCTGTTTTTTTATGTGGCAAAAACACGTGGAATTTTGGGCGCTTGCAGATAGTTGTATTGTCATTATCTCCAAGCTGGGCGGTGACAATTCCAAACGATGCATTGTATTCTTATTGGTCAACCACTTGTATTGTCCTTGTATCCCATCGGGTCCAGAGGGGGCTGTCCCTGGGCCTGAGATTTTGCATAAATACTGATCCCTGTGTGTCATTAAAGCCAGTTCTTGCTTGACCCTCAAATCGCAGCCTCGACTCGTTTTGTGGGGAGAAGGGTAGTCTAACTGTACTATAGCTAGTGGGATTGTTCTATATTTACAGAATTCGTGTGGATTGATTACCGAAGCGACTCTTCTCCCTCTTTAGCTTTGGGATCCAGGCCATCCAAGCGGTCCAGCTTCCAGCTAGCCTGGGGGTAACCGTAACACTCTAATAGACAGTTTAAAAAGAGACCACCCATGTGCTTGTTAAGCCCAATTGACACCTTGTAAAAGATTTCCAACTCAGTGTTCTTATTGTTCGTCTGGGTGGCTGCAGTTCGTATGAATGACCATGAGATGGTGGCCATCTTGTTCCCACGAACGCAGGCAGCTGTGTTTGGGCGTTGAGCTCATGGAACTAAAATTCGAACACTGAAACTCCTGAACACTGCTGGACTTCCATAATCACCTGCATTCTTTTCTACACAACCTGGAAGGGTAAGGTTTGGTGGAATCGTTCGCATGGATGAGGTGAACAAGCTACACATTGTAATTATGGATTATGTTCAGTATTTTATTATTTTTTTTGTTACCGAAGTTGACCGACCGCTGGTACTGATTTCATGGAACTATTTTGGGCTTAAGCTACATGTGCGGTCGGACAAAAATGGGACTTCCATGGAAAAACCCGAACCCCTGAACTCATCTGGGTGATTTTTCGAGGCTATCTGGACATGTGACTTTTGTGGGTTTTTTGTGTGTTTTATGCGTATTTTGGGGTGTTTTATAAATAGTTATATTTTCTGTCCCTGTGAGATAATTAAATTATATGTTTGCTCAGGTAATTAGCTCACAGGCACAGAGGATCCTGGGAGGGATTTCCCTGTAATGTTGGATTGGAAACCCCTTGCAGGGGCTTTTGCATAAAAGGCAGGGTGGGGCCTCCAATAAACCAGACTATTCCCAGCATTAAGCCTCGACTCATTTGTGGGAGGGGTGCGGGGGAAACCGCTATACTGCTATAATCACTGTTATACGCTCTTGGTGGAGAGGTCTTCCCACTGGGAACCGGATTCAGGTGTTGGTCCAGGAAGGGACGGCGAGACCCCAGACAAGCTGCAGCGGTTAAAGAAGGCTACAGTGCTTATGGTGTCCAGTGCGGGGCTTATGGTACTCTGCGACTACTAGGAAGAGCGATTGGTGGAGGTACCCAGTCGGGGTGCCGGGCAGTCTGCCACAGTACCCACAGCCATTTCAGTTCCTTTTACAAAACACCTAAAAAGTGTCTTAACTGGCCAACAGATGACTGCTATCGGCTTTTTCAGCAGTTCTAGTCACACTGTGTCCTGCTGGGCAAGAGTGTATTGGATATCAGACCCTACAGACCAGATTCACTAGTCATCGGCTTCTGTACTTTGTCTGTACAAATCCTGCAGTAACTTTAAAAGCATAAAGTATAGTCCTCTTCACTTTTTATTTATTTAAAAAAAATAATATATAGATTTGTTTTTGGATATTTTTAATACATTATCTACAGAAGAAGTGTCCCATTAAAACCCATTGTCAGTCCTGTGAATGATGTCTGTATTCGGATCCTATCACTAATGCATGAATTCAATAACACGTACTCAAATGCTTATTTCAATACAAGATCAAAACATTTTACATGGTTTTGTTTTCTTTCTTACCTTCGAAAGAAAATACTGCTATAAGAAGGTGGATTTTCATTCATAGGCATTGTACCGCACCCCTGCCTTGGAGTAGCTGACGAAGTTCCTGCAAAATATGGGGGTGGTGGTGGTGGGAAGACTATGACTGTATCACCTGAAAAAGGAAGAAGAGGCAAAAAAAAAAAAAAAAAGATATAAATCTTGCACTTTAAGAGTACATACTTAGATACAAAAAGATACCAAATAAAAATAAAATCTAATATTCAGCTTTCTTTATAAACTATAGAGGGGCAAAACTAAACATCACGTCTCCTTGTGGTTTGAACTTGCCAGTTGCCAGCACTAAATTTGTGTCCAAGAAAGGTTTTAGAAACTCTTCAAAAGGTTTCATTTTTTCAAATATTTTAGCGCACATTTTTCAAGTCAGGCATCAACAGACTGCAAAGCCCAAAAATCTGAAGTTTTGGTAACAGTACCTGGGGTACGTAATGTAAACCATGTTAAAGGATAGGATTGATGAACATCTAAAAAAAAAAATGGATTTCAAGATCAGAGACAACATGGGTTTACTTCAGGGAGATCATGCCAAACTAATCTTATTGATTTTTTTGATTGGGTAACTAAAATAATACATCATGGTGGTGCAGTAGACATTGCTTACCGAGATTTTAGTAAGGCTTTTGACACTGTTGCACATAGAAGGCTTATCAATAAACTGCAATCTTTAAGTTTGGATTCCAAGATTGTTGAATGGGTAAGGCAGTGGCTGAGTGACAGGCAACAGAGGGTTGCAGTCAATGGAATATATTCGAAGCTTGGGCTTGTCACCAGTGGGGTAACTCAGGGATCTGTACTTGGACCCATTCTCGTTAATATTTATATTCGTGATATTGCAGGAGGACTTGATGGTAAGGTATGTCTTTTTGCTGATGATACAAAGATTTGCAACAGGGTTGATGTTCCAGGAGGGATAAGCCAACTGGCAAATGATTTAGGTAAAAAAATAAATAAATAAAAATAAAAAAAAAGGAGGAAAGGAGGAAAGGAGAATAGCTTTCAGCTATTTCCCTCAGTTCGGGCCTAAAAACGTAGGAGTAGGCTCTCTTTTACTTATACGTTACCTGTTCGTGCATACTTACCCGTTCGTGCACTTCTGCGGTTCGTGGAACTAAATTAGTGGCTGGCTATACTTACGTTTCGTGGGTCCTTTTGTGTGATCTAAACTGCCGACCCTTGTCGTGTAAACTCTGGTGTAAATTTTGTTAAATTCTTGTCTACCGTTCGTTCACACGAATGAACTATGTACATGTATATTGACCCGTTCGTTCATTTAGTGGTTCGTGCAATTTTCTGTTCGTCCCTCGTATACTTACCCATTCGTGCACTACTTCTGTTCATGCGGAATTAGTCGAATGCAGACGATACTTAAGCTTCAGTGGGTCCCCCGTGCGGTCTAAACTGCCGACCCCTGTTCGTGCAATTATCAGCTTTCGTTTGTATGAACATATATATTTTTTTTTTAACCCATTCGGTTACTTAGCTGTTTGTATTAAATCAGTCGAAATTAGTTTAAAAAAAAAATCTCTGTTTATTACTGCAACCATTTACTACTAAGTCTGTGGTTCTTGGTTTAATTAGGTTTAAAATACAAGATCCTCAGATGTATGACATTTTCTCAGAACTCTGTTATTATTCCGAGGCCTTTGAGTTAACCCTCTGTGTTTTAAGTTGTGTTAAATACTTAATAAATTCTTATGACACCCAACAACTTTGGCGGGGTTTTCCAACTCCACGCCAACCCCGTACGCCATCACAGAACATATATATTAATATATAGCACAGTCCTCTGGGGAAATTTCCAAACCTTACATTTCATATTATTCTCTATAGCTTACGCAGACATTAATCTTAGCTCTGTTGATTGCCCGTTTGTCTTGTATTACTGCATAAAGTTGTCAAATCCAAGTTCTGAGTATTTACTCACTTCAGTTTCAAATTTTCAATCATGTCAAGGCCTCAGACGGCCTTCACTCTAAACTTGTCACAAACGTACGGCCCCTCTACTCTCGTATCATTTATGTCCAGTTAACACGGTCCTCTGGGGGAATTTGTTAATTAATATATACTGTTATAACCACTTCTATTTTAATAATTGTACGATGGTTTTAATCCCTAGCTCCGACATTATTCAAGGACTCCTTCGGTTTCTCCGTACAAACCACTTACACTCATCCAAGTACCTGTACAGCAAATCAAGGTATAGTACTCTACTCATTACGGGGCTTTCCCACTAGACCTGACGCGGTCTCTATTTATCACGCGGTCCTACGTCCTTTTTGTGTTTAAAATTCTCTCCATTTTTACTTAGGCCTACGTTCATACTGCCATCAGGCAAGAACCTACTCAACCTACCTAACCTGGTACCCTGCTCCATTACCAGGTATTTGCGTTCTTACTCGTTACTAGCACTTGCTACCCCTTAGGCCTCAATCAGCCTCCCTCTATAGCATAAACTCGTCCCAGTCTCAGACTAATCATTTAGATCCCTCACCTCAGGATCTCACTTTGCACTCCTATGGCCACCCCTTACTACTAAGCATACGCCCCTACGTTACGCTCAAACACATCAACATCTGTCTTAATCCTTAGGCTTCTTCTATGATACCAGCAGCGGCCAAGCCACTCTACTTAAAAACACTTGAAGTTTCAAGTTACCAGTTATAACCACTATCAAGGTTAGTATACACTCATTACACCCATAATTGTCATTTAACCCATAGAAGGGGCGTGAACTGGCTTACAGGGTTAAGGCTCCGGTTCTAGCTCACCCAAGTAAATCCTGGTCCCGCGAGGCCATATCCCACCTCAACACTGAGGTACGGCCCCACGCCCAAATCATAGTTAGATGCCTCGTTCGCCTTTCTACAGGGCCGCAGTCAGGGCCTCACTTTTCACGGCCACATGTTTTGAATCTCAGTCATCGAGAAGCCAACATCCCACCACCACGTCTGTGGCAATGAACTTCCCTCGGCCAAATAATAGATAGAGCCTCTCACCGCCACTCTGCACTAGCAGGGCCCTTATCTGTCACTAGTCCACAGTTAAGTTTTTCGCTTCGGCACTAGCCTTACACTCTGTTCTCTCCTTTTAGTAGGGGCAGACAACGCCCCTACTAAATCCAATTCATTTCTAGAATGTCTCAAGAACCAGCTCCCATCGACGAGTTGTCTGCCAAAGATATTCCATTCACTCCCATCAGACCCGAGTCTCCAGGTGAATCTCTCACCCCCTCTACTCCTACGTCCTTGAGAGTCTGGACTATTCCAAAAATTACGGCCAAACAGGCTCAGGGGCATCCCCTTTCCAGCTACGGCTAGAAAGGCGGAACTCTATAAACTTCTGACCAATCAGGACCCGAGCCTAGGCCAGGCACTAGCTCTCAAGGACAGCCATCAGGCGCTTGCACGGCCACTCAGGACACCCTTGCAGCAATCCTGGCCAACCTGCAGACCCTGTACAGCAGGTTATCTAAGGTGGAGAGTGCCATCGCCTCCCCAGGTAACCTTCCTGGCCTCTCAGCCCCCACCCCGGCATTCTCTGCTACAATACCACACTCCCCTATACATCCCCCTCCAGCACCAGCCACAGTTACATCACCTTTTGTGTCACCAGCTCACTCCATCCCAGACTCCATTAGGAAAGAAATCCTAGGCGGAAGGATGTGTGTCTGGTGTCACTACTTATAGCCTCTCAAGATGTGCTGGAGAACCAGGCATATAACTACGGGGATATCTCAGTGGTGCTTAAAACCAGAGATCCTAGGCTTAATAAAAAATTATCCATTCCACAGTTCGTAATAGCCTTCGGGATATACCGCGACGTCATTTGCTCAGAATATCACCACAGGAGAGAGGAACAAACCTCTATCTTTATAAAGTGGTGTATTTGGGAATCAAGTACGGGGGCTCATCTTTTTATGACTACCATAAATCGGTATCAGCGGAGGCGGCGATCCATCTGAAGCAGTTTAAGATTAGAATTAAATGGTGTCAGATGGATACTGAATTATTCTGTCGCCACTTCGCTGGTCAGAGGCCCCAGTCTTGCGCTGTATGTAATTCTACATCCCATACGGCTGATTTGTGCCCCTCTGAAGCTGATCCATCCACCTCCACTCCCTCCCCTCAACCCACTTTCACCCCTCACATTAAACAAGTGGGTGGTCAACGGGATAAACTGGGTAGAGCCATCTCCTTCTTAGGCAAGGCGCAGGTGTGCAACAATTTTAATGCCGGGTCCTGCAGCTTCAGCGCCTGTAGGTTGTTGAACATCTGCTTCAGGACATGCACGAAGACCATGTGCCCGGCCAGGTTGTCCCCTAACAAATGACTAACCGACAATGTCGACAAACTGTTTTTTATTTGAGACCTCATCGGAGCAGGCATTTGGTGGAGTATTTGACCACAGGGTTTTCTCACGGGTCTCATAGCCATCCCCTCAGGCACGCTTGAATGTCCCAACTTCCTGTCAGCCTGCCAAGATCCAGTATCCACAGACACTCCTTTCCTCTGAAATCTCACACGATTTCATGATCGGCCCGTTCACCTCCTCACCTTTTTCTTCCTGGTGCACTAATCCCATTGGTATAGCTGTGCACAAATATTCTAATACAAAACGCCTGATTATTGATCGGCACCGCACACCTCTCTTGTTCCCAGCATTAACTCACTCATACCCGCAGAAGAATTTTCATTACAATACGTAAAAATGCCATACAATCCATCATTTCAACTGGTAACAATGCTTGGCTAAGCAAAACAGACATAACAAATGCATTCAAATTACTACCCATGCACCCATCACTCTGACATCTGCATGGTGTTAAATGGCGAGACAGATACTATTTTTCCACACGACTCACTTTCCGGTCTAGAAGCAGTCCTAAACTGTTTGATATATTCGCAGAAACTCTATGCTGGCTGCTTCTGAACGTTCTCAGGTGTCACTCAGTCATTCACTATTTGGACAACTTCCTACTGATAGAATCAGACGCACGTATACCCACTAATATCCTCAGCACTTTTTTCCTCACTCGGGGTACCCATACCACCCTCCAAAACTCATCGGCAGGCCCAGACTGGCCATCGGGCATACCGGGCAAATGCCCGGTGGGCCGCGATGGCCGTGGATCTCCCCGGCCGGCCCCTGCAGGGCCAGTGCTATCCGAGCGCCGGCCCTGCTGTGTGCCTCCGTGGGCCGGTGGGGAGATCAAAGATCTCCCTCACCGGCCCAGAGGCAGGGAGATGCGGCCGCCGGCTGGGTGAGGGAGGAGAGAGGACCCGGCGGAGCTCTAACAAGCAGCTCCGCCGGTCCTCTTGCGGGATTCTGAGCGTTGCCGCGGACCACCAGGGAAGGCAGCATGGCCCCCCACCCCCAGGCATAACGGATCTCCTCCTCCTCCCCCCCCCCTCCCAGGATAAAGGTAAGAAGGGAGGGGGGGGGAAATACTTTTTTTATTTTTTATTTTTTTATTAGTAAAAAAAATATTTTTAAATTTAAATAAAAAATACATTCACTCACACACACACACACACACACAGCACCCCCCAGACACACAGCACAACCCAGACACACACAGCACCCCCCACACACACACACCCAGACCCAAGACACACACACACCCACACACACACACACAGCACCCCCAGACACACACTGCACCCCAAGACACACACCCACCCCCCCACACACACACACACCACCCCACACCAGACACACACACACTGCGACAGACACACACACACTGCACCCCCAGACACTGCACCCCAGACACACACACTGCACCCCCAGACACACACACACACTGCACCCCCAGACACACACACACACACACACACCTGCACCCCAGACACACACACACACTGCACCCCCAGACACACACACACACTGCACCCCCAGACACACACACACACAGCACCCCCCAGACACACACAGCACCCCCCAGACACACAAAGCACACTCACACACACAGCACACTCCCACACATATACAGCACACTACATTCCTTGTCAGCAAACACATACAACATTCTCTAAATACACCTTCTCTGCAACCCCTACACACACTACATCACCTATACACAGACACTTCAGCCCGTATGCACACACTCACTGCATCCCCTATAAAATTATGCCCCCTGTACACACACTCTCTACAGCCCCTAGCCACACATATTACACCACAAACACAAATTAAATTGACCTATTTATACAATACCACACCACACTCTACACACACGCAATCCCACAAGCAGGCTCCAAACATATGCACCATGCACTTTCCTGGCCCTTTTGTCCTCTGGTATCCCACTTGTGGAGACACCAGAGACAATTTAAAAGCAAACACAGCGCAAGCATGTTATTAAATTTGCTTGCACTGCGCAGAACAAATTCAGGGCCTTTTTCTAATGCCAGAGCTCTTCAGCAGGGCTCTGGGCATTGAACCAACATGCTCACTTTGAGAGGGGGCGTGTTGTCATTAGTGATGACAAAACACACACTATGGCCCCGCCCCCTTCTTAGGGGGCCGCTCTGATTGAAAAATGCCAGGGCCTATTTTTTTCCCAGTCTGGCCCTGCTCATCGGCCCCACTAATAAACTAACCTTCTTGGGGATCGAGCTGGACTCTGGTACCTTCCGACCCAGCCTTCCCCCCGATAAATTGGTCCGATTGAGAGGGAAGATAGACATGTTCCTGCAGAGTGATGCATGCACCAGAAGGGAACTTCAGGGGATATCACACACAGGTCCCTAAGTTTTGCGATGCGCATCATTCCACAGGAAAGGTCATTCATATCCAGGCTTCTCTGTCTGCTTCACAGGGTACCAGACTCCTGCCCAATTTCATTGGACCAGCACGCCAAGGCTGACCTACTCATGTGAGGGACGTTTTTGGCTGAGTGGAACAGGATCTCCATGTTTATCCCCCTCTCTCAGACTCCTAACCCATCATTCACACAGACGCTGCAGCCAACACGGGTTTCGCAGCTGTCTTCGGTAATCACTGGTTCAGGGGTCACTGGCCTGCTGAGACGGATGCCTTGCCAGGATTCAGGAGACTTCAGCCCTATTTGAAATTTACCCCACTGTGGCGGCCGCACACACCTGGGGTCATCTCTGGTCCGGCAAGGCAGTAAAATGCTATTCCTACAATTCGGCAGCTTGCGATATCATAAACAAGGGGCGATCATCCTCCCTTACCATCATGCGGCTGATTCGGAAACTGACCTGGCCGGCAGCAACTGTCCAGTTCCACTTAGTCTGTATTCACATCCCAGGTATCCACAACACGGCCGCTGATGCTATGTCTCGCTCTCAATTCCAGGTATTCTTCCAGGCACTCCCTACAGCCCACAGTCAGCCATCCAAGACACCGCGGTTTCACGAACTAATCCTAGATTGAACCCACCAATGCACCACGCTAGGACTCACACACACCAAGCACTATCACCTAACCTAGCTGTCACCTACAGTAGGGCACTTACCATTTTTAATAAATTCACAGCAGATTTCGGATTACAAGGTGATTTTTCTACTCAAACTATGGTGGCTTTTGCCTCCTTCTGCCACGTACATTCAAAACTTTCTCACAATACCATTAAACTATACCTCACGGGGGTTCAGCACCACAGTCTCACTAATTTCTCTAACACCCCCTTCTTGTCATCATACCCCATCAAGAAAGTCTTAAAGGGTGTCTCTAAGGTTTCTGTTCCAGTTACCACCACCAGACTACCAACACAAGGGCCTATCTTTAGATTACTCAGCAATCTACTAGATGAATCCCCATTCAATCCCAACACGAACCTGGTGATTAAGTCTGCAATTTATCTAGCTTTTTACGGTTTCCTCAGACCCAGAGAATTCACCGTTGTTTGTCAAGGGGATATCACACACAGCCTCAAAACTTAACACCTCACTAAAGGTGGAGGATCACTACGTACTTGTACTCCCATCTACCAAAACTAATCACTCACTACACCCCACTACCATTCCCCTCTTTCCCACTGATAATGCTTGGTGTCCGGTTAAGGCACTAGACCATCTACGGTCAACTCATCACACGCACTTACCAGACTCTCCGCTCTTACTACTACAAGGGCACCCACACACCACTGCTAAATTCACGACGCACGTAAGAACCTTACTGGCAAAACTGGGTTACAACCCGGCTTTGTTCTCTGGTCACTCCTTCCGCATAGGAGCCGCTTCATCAGCCTCTAGTACAAACACCCCAGTCCACATCATCAAGAGACTGGGTCGATGGAAATCCTCCATATACCATGACCAGAAAGAGAGCTTCGCCAAGCCTTCAGGAATTAAGGTTATGTACTAAATGCAATAAAGTGTGTTTTTCCTTGAACTTCTCTTTTGCCCTGTTTTATTTACAGGCCCACTCGTATGTTGGTTTCAGCACACCACAATCAACTTTCATCTCAGACACTATCCATTATGTATTAAATTCCGAGCAAAAAAAAAAATAAAAAAATAAAAATTATATATACATAATAAATTATGTAGTGACCAAGGTGCAAACAACCTGTCCCTGCACACCTAGTAATATAAACACTGCTTTTAGGGGAAAGAAAAAAAAAAATAAGTAGCATTTATGCTACTACCCAACGTTACCTCTAGTAGATGTTACACAAGGGATTTCCTTCTTGACGTCCTGCAAAGATTGCAGGACCTATATTTGGCATCACTGCCCATAGAGATGCATTAAGTCAATGCATTCCTATGATGAAATGCTGATTGACTTAGTGCAGCCACGTTTCGGATTGCATACATATATGGAGCAATGGATTGGCTGACATTGGCTGTTTTTTGGGGAGGAAAAAAAAATGCTTTAACTTATTAAAGGGGGGCCCCTGAATCTAAACAGTTAGTATAATAATCTAGCCTCAGGAATAAAGGTTTGTATTCCGATTAGAAGGATGTTCATTTAAGCTCAAATTAGGTGTATTATACTGTAGGTACTGAAAACAGGTGCCCTCTACAGGACATGCACCTAATCGGAAATCCAGCCCTGGTTTGCGTTCACCTGCCCGGAGTTCAATAGTTGTAGTGCAGGATTTATTTGTTTCTGTAAAAAGCCTGTTATTTATACAGATTTTGTAACATCAGGATGTGCCGTCTAGTAAAAAACACAAAAATAGTTTCCATAACCCTGCCCGAGACACCTTATTCACATGACCCATATGATACTAGTCATAATTTATAGCCATAACAATTACTTATAGTGCAGATTATATCACAAGCTCCCAGCAACCTCCTCTGTAGCACATCCTTGTAACTGCAAGGCTAAAATGACAGCCCAGTACCTCCATTGGAGGGGAGACGGGGGAAGCTGTATTAGTGGTGTCTTAGTGCCACAAGACCTTTAAATTGTACTTCATGCAATTGGATTATTTTGATTGACATTTTGAAATACAAGACAGTCCTGTGAACATCGAGACAGTTGGTAAGTATGTTTATCATACAACACAGGTCTAAGCGTTCACAGCAACCTTGTACCATACATAGAGGGGTTTGTAGCACTGTGTACACTAGTGAACAAAGCAGGTGTATGGAAATTGGTCTAGCTGGTCATCCCAGTGCTCCGGGATTAGAGTCAGGTAAATGAAAGGGGTCCCCAGGAACCTCTGATAACTAGGAGACACTGCTCTAATGTACCCAGTATCGTAATGAGTTTAAGTAGGGTACCTGGAGCTCACTCCACAGGATTTGAAGCAATCATGCCAATTGTCTTGAGATGGGAAAAACCCACTGTAATAAAACACATGCACATAGAGTGTGTAGTATTATATAATGCATGTAGTTATATCTTATAGTGTGTTTCTCTACCAACTATATTTTCTTGTTATCAGGGACCAAATACATTACCTTGGAAGCCCAATCACGCGTTGTCATGTGATAAATCCTACAGAAATCTCGAAGAGCAAGTCCTTCATCAAGGTGATTCCATAAAAGGATTATATGCAATCATGTTTGTGCAAGACATTTTCATGTCCTTACAGAAGCAGTTTAAAGATTTGTTCTGCTGAATAATAAAAACGACACCTTTTCCACTGAAAACAGTGCAGAGTGAGAATGAAAAAAAAAAAAAAAAAATCTTCACGAAAACATTTTTATACTTTTTATTTTTACTACACACCAGCTTTTTTAAGCAAATTAGCATTTTGTCTTTAATTAAGGGACATGAATAACTCTGTTCCCCAATGAATCAGTAGCTGCAGTCAGCACAGTATTTATCAGAGAGTTCTGCTCTAAAATGTAGAGTAACAATGTAATATAGGAGAGCTAGCCAATAGAATAGGGCTACTGATTCTCCTGGTTTCTGCGGCAATTGCCCAATTTTTATATTACAGAATACTTTAATATTTCCCTATTATTAATTAATAGTTACAAAGATATTAAATATTAAAATAAAAGTAAAAAAATAAATAAACTTTTTTGAATGAATAAGAATTTTGGCAGTTGATAGTCTGTAGAGTCTTAATGGAAGGAACAGTGATTCTAACAGATCTATGTTCAATCATGCAAATCCCGGGAACATTTCCGATTACAGGTGCCCTGAGGCCAGAGCAGTTTAATAACAAGCATCGTACAAAGAAAAAAAAATGAAAAAAAAACAAAAAAACACAGGTATTGAGATGGTGGTGTTTAAATGTAAATAGTTCGTAAAAATGAAGGTTGAGCTTCACAGGCAACTCTACCCCATTAGAAATTCACAGACATTAGAAACAGTTAACGACATATAATGAATTCCTCCTTAAAAATGTTAAAGCAGGAATCAGGGTCATTGGCGCCCATGGCAACTGTAGCTCAAATTGCTGAAAAACTAAATACTGGCCATGATAGAAAGGTGTCAGAACACACAGTGCATAGCAATTTGCTGCATATGGAGAGCATGGCCGCAAACTGGTCAGAGTGACTAAGATGACCAAATGTCCAACCCACGAAAGCACCTCGAATGGGAAGTGAGAATCAGAACTGGATCATGGATCAATGGAAGAAGGGTGCCAGGTCTGATGAATCAAGTTTTGTTGACCAGGTGCATGTGCGTTGTTTACCTGGGAAGGAGGCAGAGGCAACATTATGTTCTGGGTAATGTTCTGCTGTGAAACCTTGGGTCCTAGCATTTATGTGGATTTTTTTGACACATTCCACATACCTATAGATTGCTGCAGACCAGAAACAAACAACCATTCATGGCAATGGTTTTTCCTGATGGCAGTGGTCACTTTCATCAGGATAATGCACCCTTCAATAATTGTTCGAGGAACTTGATAAAGAGTTCAAGGTGTTGCTTTGGCCTCCAAATTACCTAGATCTCAATACGATTGAGCATATGTGGGATGTGCAGGAGTCCAATCCATGGAGGCCCCACATCGCAGTTTACAGGAATTAAAGCATCTGCTGCAGGATACCACACAAAGACATTGGCAGCATATTAGAACATGTTCAGAGGTCTTGAGAGTTCCATACCTGGATGCATCAGAGCGGTTTTGGCAGCACGAAGGGGGGTCTACACGATATTAGGCAGGTGGTTTTAATGTTGTGGCTGATCAGTATATAATCTACACATACTCTGGTTCGAATTCCCGTCAGAAAACCTCACCAGTAAGAATCCCAGGAAGGACTCCGATTGATATATCCCCACCCACCTCAATAATATAAGAGTAACATGAACCAAGAGTCATGCCGGCTTGGATGACAGAGTTTAGCAAGGTCCACATGAGATGATAGGGAACCAGGGAAATCTGACAAGTGATCTACTGGAACGAACAATGTGAGAACCTAGACCTCCTTAACTGCTACTATAACGGCAAACCCAATGAGAAGGCCTACATGAAATGTGGGAACTATGGATGAATAACTTTCATCTACCCCAAACACCAAAACATAGTTACACAATGTTTGAACATTGTCAAGAGAAAGCTAGTGGAACAACTAGAATTAGATGGACTACACCAAAAAAATCATACATGAGCCTTGAGGAGAAAGAATTCCCCACAGCCACAGAGGATTGCCAAACTGCCCCAAGATGGCAGAACATAAGATGCTAACAAAAAGATGTTCACAGAAAATCTGGCAGTCCTTGACCACTACACAAGATTACCAAATATACCCAAAGCTATTAAAAGAGCTTAGTGGTGTACTAGCAAAATCATTAACGGATTTATTTAAATCAATCGTTGTTAACAGGGAGTAGTCCCAGAAGATTGGAAGTTAGCTAATGGTATGCCCATTTACAAGAAAGGTAGTAGGGAGGAGTCAGGCAACTATAATTCTTACTTCAGTAGTGGGGAAAGTAATGTAAACCATGTTAAAGGATAGGATTGAGGAGCATCTAAAATCACATGGATTTCAAGATCAGAGACAACATGGGAGACCATGCAAAAATAATCCTATTGATTTTTATGATTGGGAAACTAAAATAATAGATCAGGGTGGTGCAGAAGACATTGCTTACCTAGATTTCAGTAAGGCTTTTGAAACTGTTGCACATTGCAGCTTATTGATAAGCTGCAATCTATATGTTTGGATTCCAATATTGTTGAATGGGTAAGGCAGTGGCTGAGTGACAGGCAACAGAGGGTTGTAGTCAGGCCCGGACTGGCCATCGGGCACACCGGGCAAATGCCCGGTGGGCCGCGGTGGCCGTGGGGCCGAGGCCGGCAGGGGAGGTCCCAGGATCTCCCCTGCCGGTCTATGCAGGGCCGGCACTCTCCTAACGCCGGCCCCGCTGTTTGCAACGACGGGCCGGTGGGGAGATCAAAGATCTCCCTCACCGGCCCACATGCGGCCGCCGGCGGGGAGGGAGACAGCCAGCCAGGCTGGAGAGAGGACCCGGCGGAGCTTTAATTTGCGGCTCCGCCGGGATCCTCTCGCGAGATCCGGCGCGTTGCCATGGCAACGACCGGATCTCGCGAGGAGTTCACTCACCCACGAGGACCACCAGGGAACACTGCCTCCCCGCCTCCAGTGCCAGCGTGCCGGTCCCCCCCTCCCAGGCTAAAGGTAAGAAGGGAGGGGGGGGGAATAATACCTGTTTTTTTTATTTTTTTTTATTTACCCCCCCTACATACACACAATAACATTTATACAGCACTCTCACACCCATCACACACAGCACTCTCACACACACACAGCACTCTCTCTCACACAGCACTCTCACACCCATCACACACAGCACTTTAACACACACAGCACTCTCTCACACCCATCACACTCACAGCACTCTCACAGAGCACTCACACACACACAACACTCTCACAGCACTCTCACACCCATCACACACAGCACTCTCACACCCATCACTCACAGCATTCTCTCACAGCACTCTCACACCCATCACTCTCACAGAGCACTCACACACACACAGCACTCTCACACCCATCTCACATACCCATCTCACACAGCACACTCACATCCATCACTCACACACAGCATTCTCACACCCATCACACACCGCATTCTCTCACAGAACTCTCACACCCATCACTCTCACAGAGCACTCACACACACACAGCACTCTCACACCCATCTCACATACCCATCTCACACAGCACACTCACATCCATCACTCACACACAGCACTCTCACACCCATCACACACAGCATTCTCTCACAGCACTCTCACACCCATCACTCTCACAGAGCACTCACACACACACAGCACTCTCACACCCATCTCACATACCCATCTCACATACCCATCTCACACAGCACACTCACATCCATCACTCACACACAGCATTCTCACACCCATCACTCACACACGGCATTCTCCCATCCATCACTCACACACAGCATTCTCACACCCTTCACTCACACACGGCACTCTCACACCCATCACTCACACCCGGCACTCTCACACCCATCACACACCGCACTCTCACACACACATACTGCACCCCTCACATACACACAGAACCCCCCCCAACACACTGCACCACAAACATACACAATACTTCCAAATATATATATGTATACACGCACACACTACACTCTTAAAGGACCACTCTAGCCACCCAGACCACTTCAGCTTAATGAAGTGGTCTTGGTGCCAGGTCCTTCTAGGGTTAACCCATTGTTTTATAAACAGCAGTTTCAGAGAAACTGCTATGTTTATCAATGGGTTAAGCCTTCCCCCAAAGCCTCTAGCAGCGGTCTCATTGACAGCCGCTAGTGGTGCTTGCGTGCTTTTCACTGTGAAAATCACAGTGAGAGCATGCAAGCGTCCATAGGAAAGCATTGATTATAAATGCTTTCCTATGCGACCGGCTGAATGCGCGTGCAGCTCTTGCCGCGTGTGCGCATTCAGCCGACGGGGCGGATCGGAGGACGAGAGCTCCCCGCCCGGCGCTGGAAAAAGGTAAGTTTTAACCCCTTTCCAGAGCCGGGCGGGAGGGGGTCCCTGAGGGTTGGGGCACCCTCAGGGCACTATAGTGCCAGGAAAACGAGTATGTTTTCCTGGCACTATAGTGGTCCTTTAACATACACACTCTGGATCCCCTATACACACACTAGATTCCTTGTAAGCAAACACATTCTACACCCCTAAACACACACACACACACTATAGCCTGAATGCACACACTTGCTATATCCCCAATACACACATTCTCTACAGCCCATAGCCACATATGCATCACATTACACCACAAACACAACACGACTAAAACCGACCTTATTACACAATACCACACCATGACCAGTTCACTCTACACACACGCAATACCACAAGCAGGCTCCAAACACATGCACAATACTCTTTCCTGGCCTTTTGTCTCCTGGTATCCATTTATAGACACCAGAGACAAGTTGCAAGGAAACACAGTGCAAGCATGTTATTAAATTTGCTTGCACTGTGCAAAACAAATACAGGACTTTTTTCCCATGCTAGAGCTCTTCAGCAGAGCTCTGTGCATGGTCTGCCCTGGAAGAGCATTGAACCAACATGCTCACTTTGAGAGGAGGCGTGTCTGTCATTGGTGACAAAACACACCTCCTCTGCCCCGCCCCCTTTTTAGTGGGCCGCCGTGTTAAAAAAATGCCCGGGCCGAATTTTTCTCCCAGTCCGGCCCTGGTTGTAGTCAATGGAGTATATTCGAAGCATGGGCATGTCACCAGTGGGGTACCTCAGGGATCTGTACTTGGACCCATTCTCTTTAATATTTTTATTAGTGATATTGCAGAAGGTCTTGATGGTAAGGTATGTCTTTTGCTGATGATACTAAGATATGTAACAGGGTTGATGTTCCAGGAGGGATAAGCCAAATGGCAAATGATTTAGGTAAACTAGCAAAATGGTCAGAGTTGTGGCAACTGACATTTAATGTGGATAAGTGCAAGATAATGCATCTTGGACGTAAAAACCCAAGGGCAGAGTACAGAAGATTTGATAGAGTCCTAACCTCAACATCTGAGGAAAGGGATTTAGGGGTCATTATTTCTGATGACTTAATGGTAGGCAGATAATGTAATAGAGTAGCAGGAAATGCTAGCAGAATGCTTGGTTGTATAGGGAGAGGTATTAGCAGTAGAAAGAGGGAAGTGGTCATGCCATTGTACAGAACACTGGTGAGACCTCACTTGGAGTATTGTACACAGTACTGGAGACCGTATCTTCAGAAAGATATTGATACCTTAGAGAGGGTTCAGAGAAGCGCTACTAAACTGGTTCATGGATTGTGGGATAAAACTTACCAAGAAAGGTTAAAGGATCTTAACATGTATAGCTTGGAGGAAAGGTGAGACAGGGGGGATATGATAGAAACATTTAAATACATAAAAGGGAATCAACACAGTAAAGGAGGAGACTATATTTAAAAAAAGAAAAACCACAACAAGAGGTCATAGTTTTAAATTAGAGGGGGCAAAGGTTTAAAAATAATATCAGGAAGTATTACTGTACTGAGGGGGTAGTGGATGCATGGAATAGCCTTCCAGCTGAAGTAGTAGAGGTTAACACAGTGAGGGAGTTTAAGTGTGTGTGGGATAGGCATAATGCTATCCTAACTATAAGATAAGGCCAGGGACTAAAAAAAGCAAATTGGGCAGACTAGATGGGCCAAATGGTTATTATCTGCCATCAGGTTCTATGTTTTTAAATATCACTGGAAGACTGCCAGATTGTATGCTAGCTGTCCTTGTCCACAATCCCAACCAACACAATCACATATATGCCAAAGCTTTAGTGGCCCTGCAGATGCTGGACTAGAAGATCAGGCTGAAGGAGATACAATGCCCACCATGGAGACTATGACTGAAAGCCAGGTTAAAAGGCACGTAAGGAAGTTGGTAAGCTGGATCAATTTCATAGGTTGAAAAATCAAGGATAGATCCTGGCTACCAAGGAAATGCAAAGGTATGCTAATACCAGAGGCACTGGAAACAGCTAAGCAACGGCTGACAGCACTGGCAACCAGACTGAGCAGATAAACTAGAGGAGAGGCGAAGATAACAAATGCCTTTTTCACCCAATAACCATCCATACTGCAGGGTAACCACATTTCCAGAGCAAAAACAGAACAGTACTGGAAGAACACGTGGGAGAAAGAAACATCACATAACATACATACACACACCTCCCCGTTGTAATTAAGAAAATGTAATATTACATACCCAAACACACACACACACACACACACACAAATCTAAATAATTCCAAACAAAGTAGAACAGACTAACCTGAACACTAGTATCTGGGAGGTGGGTAGTTGTGTAGAGTTATAAAGGTATTCTTACCTACAGTTATGTGAAATGGCTCATCAGTGGGAGTCTGGATATCATCATCATCATCAATAGAGTCATTACTGTCAGCGAGATTGTGTTTTTTCTTAATATGAGCAACAGCAAAGAAACACAACCCAATGAGGACGACCAGGGGTCCCATAATTTGCAGGGAAAGAAATCCACAGCTCCTGGAACTTATTTCTGTTCCATTAACGTTTTGGGATGTTATGTTACAGCCAGGTATCCACACCCCTAACACGCTTATAAGTATTCCACTGGTCACAAACAGAAATCCAAATATGAGAAACTGGATAAACTGACGACTTTCACCGCAGAGGAAGAAGCTGTCCGGATCAGTTTGGTTTCCTTCCAATTCTCTCCTTCTTTGCTCCAGCCTGGCTTTCGATCTGGCCAGCAAGACCAATCCCAAGCCAATCACGGAGAGTGCGGGTCCCATCACTTTAAAGGTCATGCTGCAGGTGTAGAAGGTGTTCATCTGGCATGTCTGGAAACCAAAGATAGAAAGCACAAACCCAGCACAGAACAGCATCGTTCCAAACACAAACATAAAGAATATAAACTTGCTGGACCGTCCTGTGCTGTGGCACCCCATGGTAAAGGATAACAGAGTGGGCAACATTTTAAGACAAGGCCTTTTCTGATGTGCAGAAGTTTATTTTGTCTTCAAGGTAAACATTTGGAGGTACCTAAAAAAATAAAAAATAAATAATGGTTGTATTTTAGCCAAGAAAGACAATATATGGAGTCTGTTTGTTAATTTTCCTTCTATAAAATTGTGATGCATCATATTTAAATAACACTTGATCTTTACCCCACCCCCCTTAACAACATGCATCCATGGGCTATTTCTTTGTAAGGAAATGCAAAATTAAAAAGGGACACTATAGACACCCAGACCACTTCATCTCAATTTTGTTTCAACCCTGAAACTGAAAACATTGCCTTTTTGCAAGAACGACAATGTTTACATTGTAGGCTTTAACCCATTAATGACAACTTCTGAAATAAAAGGGAATCATGACGGAATATTTCCATTATGTGTCCTTAAGGAGTTAAATCCATCTAGTGTGTGAAACTCAGCTATCTATAGCAGATGGTTTTATAGAGACCATCTGATTGGTCCAGCATTTATCCATGCATGCGCCCCAACTTCCCAATGATTTTCTCTAGGATCATCAAGATTATAAAAAGACCAGTGTGGCGAGGGCTGAAAGGTAAGTAAATCTCACCCTTTATTGCTAGAGTTAGATTAATACTATCGCATTACGAATACATGTTTTATTGTGGCCCACCGTCTCTCCTCTCATACTATAACAAACTTTACATCCAGCAGCTGCACCAAGAGCACTACATACAGTAGATTCAGAGGAACGAAAATATATTTTTGTCCCAATACATTTGGACGAGCCATAGTTTTCTGTAGTGCCAAAGTCTATTGTTTTGAATTGTGAAAATATATAAAAGGTATCCATCCCTAGCACAACACGGTTGTTGTTTTCATTAGCTCTGTGGAGCCAGTAGAAGAGGAAGACATTTCAATGGCATGAAAATGGCCGACTTCAGACACTAAAAAGAACAAGCTGAAGTGTTTTGTGTTGGAGTGTTCCTTTAAGTCATATTGATAGCATTACTGCGCATGTGCTCATTACTATAAGCTTGCATTAGGAAGTCATATGCATTACATCATAATCAGTCAATTGCAGGCCAGGGATTGGCTGTGATAGCCCAGCCACCTACTAGATAGAGTAAAGCAGGAAGAAAAAATAAATAAATCTACTATTAAAAGGAACATTATAATGTCATGAACATTATACGTGTATTCCTGACATTATCATGTTAAAAAAAAAAAAAGTAAATGTTGCCTTTATTCTGAAAAGGCAGTATTTTACATTAAAAGGCCTGCAGGGACAGACACAATAACAACTACATTAAAAGGATACTATATAGTGTTAGGAATACAAATCTGTATTCCTAACACTATGGAGTCCTCTGGTCCTCCCCCTCCCCCACGTTCACCGGCAGCTAAAAGGTTAGTAAACCTTTTAGCCACTTGCCTGATTCCAGCATCAATGACCCTCGGTGCTCCGCCTCCCACGACAGGAGGCCCAATGCGAATAAACAGCAAGTGCCACAAGCGCATTAGGCCCTTTCCCATTGGAGAGCATTGCTTCAATGCTTTGATGGGGATTTCACGGAAGCTGAATGTGCTCATGCAGAGCTTGAGGACATCTCGTGACATTTAGGGGAAAAGTCTGTTAGCAACCAGGAAGTGCCTCTAGTGGTGGTCTGATTGACAGCCACTAGAGGCAGTCTTAATGCTGCAATGCAGTTTCTATAACCCACTGTTTTTTAAAAAACCCTCAACATTTCTCTGTAACAAAACTCCACCTTATCCCTGGTACACACATATATAAAATATATTTTTGCAATGCTCCACTAATGCTTTTTTTAGCAAGCTTATTACAGCCTTAAAAGTGACAAGTACATTTGTTGACTAAACAGTTTGGTTTGAAGTATATTTTCTGAGGGGGAAAGAGGTGGGGGTGTTTTCTGAGTAAAAGACTACCCCTCAAGATTTTAGGGGGCTCATGCACTAATTAACTACGTTTCCACAGTATTTTCCAGAACACACACACACTCTTGTGTAGTGTGTGTAAAAATCATGTATATATAATATATCTGCATGTATATTCAGGTAGTCAATTCAGGGTTATTTACTAAAAGGTTTCAATTGTTGTGAATTCGAAGTGGCGTATTCACTAAACTCCAAATTAAAATAAATAAATAACTAATGCTAAAATAGCAGATTTGGAAAAATTCTGCGACCTTTTAGTCACAGCTTGGCTAAATAAGCTTACATTTTGCGGTTAGGCATTTAGTTCTCCACTGGGTAGTGGAGAGGTTAAAAAAGGCGCATTACAGAAATAGGACCAGTCTAAAAAGAAAAACCCTTATACTCACAAATCATGGTTTGAGATCCAAGTTATAATAGCACGTAGATATGTAATTAATACATTATCTGGAGAATTATTGTTGTCAGTGAAAATAACTCGATAGTGAGTAAAACCCCACCTGAATTTATTAACTATAAAATTAATCGTTAATTAAATTGCAAAATTTAGACCAAAATAAATGAGCCGTAATAACAGCTTGGTTCTTGTAGTCTGATTCTGAATGCAGGTTTTAATTCATCAGAATTCACAGTTGAGTGCATAAACTGACCAATATTAAAAAGTGAAGTTGTTTAATAATGTAAGTTAAATAATATACAAACAGAATAATTAAACAGGCAGGTGTGTCACGCTTACCTGAGCAAGGACCTCCACAAGGTGAGACACATTTACAGGTATACGAAGTAGCCTAACAGCAAAGGGTGTGCATAGGGCACGTCCCTCTACCTTATCACAGCCTAGCGGACCAATAGAACGTCAAGGTGTGAATAGCAATATTTTACAGTCACCTGGGTGTTGGTGCAGGCAAACAGAGAAATACAGAATCAGCAAACATTGTGGCATTTAAAGGGTTATCCTCAAAGAATCTACAAAGAGAAACTTGGCCACAAGACAATTAATGAACATTTCACAGCAGAGAGGAAAATCCTCCGTAGGTCGCAATTAAATCTGACGGGAAAGGGCTGAACTTGCAATGTAACTTTTCCTGGCAATGCAAACTATTTATTGTTGGCAATCAAAATGTATATTTTAAAAAACATCCTTATAAAACCTACAGGAGACATCTGTCTCGGGCTTAATTTGGCAGAATATTCTTCATGAGCAGGTTTGCAGAACCTGTTTTAGTAATGGGATGTTTGGACCGAACGCTTTCATTTTATTTCCTGATTTATGAGTTGCAGGTAAATGCAACAGTGATGTCACCCACTGGGATGGTAACGCCCTGACCTTGGGCTGAGCCGTCACAAGGGTTATTTACTAAAAGGTTTTGATTGTTGTGAATTCGAAGTGGCGTATTCACTAAACTCCAAATTCTGCCAAATTAAAGACCGAATAAAAATAAAAAAAATTTAAAAGAATAATAATGCTAAAATAGCAGATTTGGAAAAATTCTGCTACCCTTTAGTCACAGCTTGGCTAAATAAGCTTACATTTTGCTGTTAGGCATTTAGTTGTCCACACTTTGAAAATGAATGAACAAGTTAGTGAATTTTAAAAAATTTTGGCGAAATAGTCAAATTACAAATATTTTCCAACTCTTTTATATTTTTAAAGTATTAAATTCAGTCTTAATTTGTGACAATTCCCACTTCAGTAAAAAAAAACAAAAAAACTTGTCGTTTTGCCAACATTTAGGCTATAATAGTCAAGATGATACTGTAGCTGGGTTGGAGAATAGTTCTAAATCAGCTATTTTAGTCTGAATGTTGTTCGTTTTCAGTTGGCTACATTTCAAGGTTTAGTGAATAAAGCCCTGAGCAGACCAGTCTGGCTACCTGTCTGCTCCAGAAAGAGGGGCAATCACGCACGTACCTGTCCAAGAATCTTGTCCTTTACACCAGTCTCACTCTGGTAAATAGTCCAATTAATGTTAACAATTAACAGAAACAATCAGCCCCCTAATCTCCCAGTTTAAAGTTTAAGCACTTGACAACATTTGTAATGCATAATAAAAAATGTTAAATTGGCTGTTGCTGTTGAAGATTGTGGTTCAGATCAGGATCTCAGCAGTATATAGTGAGTGGTGAAAGGACAAACCATTTAAAGGGACACTCCATTGCACAAACAAAATAAAATCACTGTTTAGTAAACATAACCCGAATTAAAATATGCATGATATTTAATTATGCATTTCTTTCATTAGGGGTAGATCTAAAAACAGCTTGCAAAACCTGCAGTTCTCTTGTCTGTTGCCTTTGCAAGCCCTCCCCTTCAGACCCAGCGCAGACTTTCTGTGGCTGTCCAATCACATCATCACATGCTTGGTTGTATAGGGAGAGGTATTAGCAGTAGGAAGAGGGAAGTGCTCATGCCATTGTACAGAACACTGGTGAGACCTCACTTGGAGTATTGTACGCAGTACTGGAGACCGTATCTTCAGAAGGATATTGATACATTAGAGAGAGTTCAGAGAATGTCTACTAAACTGGTTCATGGATTGCGGGATAAAACTTACCAGGAAAGGTTAAAGGATCTTAACATGTATAGCTTGGAGGAAAGACGAGACAGGGGGGATATGATAGAAACATTTAAATACATAAAGGGAATCAACACAGTAAAGGAGGAGACTATATTTAAAAGAAGAAAAACTACCACAACAAGAGGACATAGTCTTAAATTAGAGGGACAAAGGTTTAAAAATAATATCAGGAAGTATTACTTTACTGAGAGGGTAGTGGATGCATGTTATAGCCTTCCAGCTGAAGTGGTAGAGGTTAACACAGTAAAGGAGTTTAAGCATGCATGGGATAGGCATAAGGCTATCCTAACTATAAGATAAGGCCAGGGACTAATGAAAGTATTAAGAAAATTGGGCAGACTATATGGGTCGAACAGTTCTTATCTGCTGTCACATTCTATGTTTCTATGGTTTCCTGTATGGTCCTGACAGCTGAGGGCCAGCCATCTGCTTGTCAGGTGAAGGACCCGCCCCTTATTCTGACTGACCGTCTGACCATTTTTTGGACACTGCCCTCTTTAAAGTAGCCCTACACCCTGTGGGCATCACTAGTGACGCAGCACACGTCTCTGGCAATGCCACCTCCAAACTCCGCCCACCTGTCCCGATTTACAGGTGGGGTATTTTAGGAGGTATGCTAAAGCCTGGCGTCTTGCTTGCCATTCACTATCTTGTTATCTGTTTAAAGCCATCCAGCCATGAGCCCAGCACTCGCAGGCTATCACTGCCATCCTTAGCTATTCAACCTTGAAAAGCATTATTAGGTAAAAGAGTGGACAGAATTGGATGGATAATGTGAAAATGAAACCTCTGCATTATGTGAGCGACAGGTAAGAGACTGGGCATCGGGTGCCAAAAAGCCCTAGTTTTTATCAAACTCATTGAAAACTTAAACAGAAAATGTGGGGGCAGCGCTCAAAAACACCTTGCACCATAACCACTACAACAAACTATAATAGTAATTATGTTTATAGTGCCCTTTAAGGGATTTTGTTCCATTCTAAGTGTCTGCTTTTTGAAGAATTTTATCTATAATTTATACATCTGGAATTTATGCAAAAAAAATAAAATAATAATAATTAGACAAGGAGAATCCCTCCACCTGCAAACAACCATACAGTGGTAACATCGGACATCTTCAACTCAGCCCAGCTCCTGCAGTATGTATAAGCATAAGCACTGAGTCATATTCGTTGTTATGTATAACTCTCCCGGGCGTTGACAAAAGCAGCAATTTCATTAGCATAAAATTAGGTAATGCTTGTTTGGCATAGTCTTCACCTCGTTGCTGTTTTTACAAGTTATACAGTAGATCCGTGTGCAGCTTTCTTTCCTGGTTCATTATGAGATTTAAAACCAGACTTTTTTGGTCTTCAATGCAAAGTTACACACCAGTATTGATGAATCCGCATTTATTCATCCACTGCGTCAGCATGTAAGTTAATTCTCCAATATTGACAAATCTGGGTCGATTCAGCTGCGGTCCCGGCATTGTCGATGTACTGTCATTTTCACTAGGTCGGAGCTCTGAACAAACCAACCTAAAATGAGGCTAGCTGCGACCTTCGCACCTTTTAATTCTTTTGTGCAGACATCTCGTCTGATGCAGTACACCTGTGCAAAACTGAGGCAAATACGACGCAAGGGCCTGGGGCTATTTAAACCCCTGTCACCTTTGGACCACTGCCATTTCATGGTTTTACAGTCCTCAAGCGTGTCACACTGATGTTTATTGACTATCTGTTCCTGACCTGGCTACGTCCTCAACCCTGAGCTTTGTCCAGTCCTTGTGTCCAGTATATCAGACCCAGCTACGTTCCTGACCCTGAGTTTTGACTTATCCTGTATATAGTGTACTATACCTTACTGGTTCTTTTTGGTATAGCTTATCCTGGCCTGAATTACATTAGTATTTAGTTCTGACATTTACTGTTTCTGCCTAAGCGTTAGGTCTGGCCACTCTAAGGATTGGTTTGATGCCTACCAGTCTTTTCTTCCTGCACGTTTGGTAGCTGCTCACATATATTTTAGTATGGATACCCTCATATCTTGACATTAAAGTGATGATGAACAGAGGCCACCCTCAGAGGTGGAATGGATATATACTGTTTCAGAATCCCGGCAAAGCAAAAGGATCCAGACACTGGCCTGTGGGCCTCAGCAAACGTTTTGTTAAATTGCAACCAATCAAGCAGAGTTTAAGACCTCAGAGTAAATTAGTACTATTCAGTGTTGTGCCAAGGCACTACAAGCACTGATAGGAAGCATGGAGAATTTACAAGTTTTCATTTTATATTCTTTATCTCCAAACAACACCCAGAGCATGAAAAATTCTGAGAGAGTGCGCTAATCCACAACAAAATATCAAGCAGAGAGTTTTGAGGTTTTATAGCCCCTCCACCAGCGTGCCTTATGATTGGTTGTAGAAGAACCATGGAATATAGTGCAAACATGTTGCAAACTAGCGAATGCCCAGGAAACAAGTCAGACGACATGCGACACACCACCTACCAATATGACACACTATGCATCCTGACCGGAGTCTTCACATACAGACTCTTGCGCTCCCGCACACTTCCCTGGCCCCAGGAGTTGTATACCCTATGGCCCAAATTACCCACACCAATCATACCCCAATTTGCAGACTGTTGTTCTGCGCCCCTCCCCTCCTTGACCTTATAATATTCCCTTCCTGTCCCCCTTTTTTTTCTCTCTCTCTCTCTTTCTTCTTCTCTCTCTCCCTCTTCTTTTACTCCCCTCCTTCCAACTGGCTTGGTGCATTTCCCACCCCAGGAACAGAAGGAAGGCGACAATGTGGTTGTCTTGTTGGTTTGATAAGCAAGTCTACCCCGACTTTATGGTTATTTTTGTTGTTTGTCACCATGGACTTAATCTGTTTGCATGGGTTCATGGGGAGTCCATGTGGCTGGCCTGGCATGGTGATATGACCTCATTGGTCCCCATGGGGGTTTCCTGGTCCTAATGCCATCAGCTTTTTGCACTTTGGTCCCACCCAGTTTGACTCCACCACTTGTGTTACCGTTAACCAAGGAATATATTCCTCCTGGTATGGCGACCCACAATAATAGCCAGGTTACAGCTCTACATGCTTTAAATGGGTACCTGTGTGTATTAATCTCTGTAATAATGAGTGAGTCTTAAGATAAAGAGGATAGACATTGGCCATGAGAAAATAGTGGCACCGATATTATAATGCCAAAATAGCATTTTCAAAATGTGCTACAGCTAGACATCGAAACATAGAATGTGACGGCAGATAAGAACCATTCGGCTCAT